CATTAGCTCCATTTTACTGAGCTTCAGAGGTGTTTTCACCGTAAAGATAGAATCTATGCGGGGTTTGCTTAAATGACTTAATGAGAAAAGCCCTTAGATTAGTGCCTGGCACATATTAAGGACTGTATGTGTTGTTGTCGCTGTGACTTGTACCATTTAGTTAAATCAATCACGTAACACACTTACAGTAACCTACCTGATCAGACACTGGAAATATAAAAGATAAATAAGAGTTGTTTCTCCTCTTGAGCTTGCAGGATAGTTGGAGAAAGACAGACAGACACACACAAGTGCTTTGGCTTTAATACATTACAGGGATGTTATCACCAAATTTTGTGTGTGTTAAATATCCCTGTGTGGGGTGCATCCTGTGGCACGTCGGTGGAGTGAATCTCACTAACCCAGACTGTAGTGGCCAGAAAGTGCTTCTCAGGATGAGTGATATCAAAGTCAAGACTTACAGATGCACCGTAACCGGTTCAGCTCAGTGGATAGAGCATTGGCCTGCGGACTGAAGGGTCCCAGGTTTGATTCCAGTCAAGGGCATGTACCTTGGTTGCGGCCACATTCCCAGTAGGGGTGTGCAGGAGGCAGCTGATTGATGTTTCTCTCTCATCGATGTTTCTAACTCTCTATCCCTCTTCCTTCCTCTCTGTAAAAAAATCAATAACATACATTTAAAATAAAAAAAAGACTTACAGATGCATAGACTTGGGGGGCAGGAGTGGAGGTAGAAGAGATGGTGTACACTTTAAGGAGGGATTTTGCATGTCTGCAGTATACAGCATATAGAGTTTGGGGGTGTGGGAAAAGTAGAAAATAAAGTTAATGTTGCCAGTTGCAAAAATCGCACAGGGCCTTGTGTGTTAATGCTGAGACTCTCTGTCTCATATATATGGGGTTGGACTTGAAGCAGACAAATGGACAAATGATCGAGGCAGATTTGCAGTAGGTGGTCACTGCTGATGCCTGGGGGATGGGCTCGGTGATGTGCTGGTGGCAGTGCCATGTCGCTGAACTAGGGCAGGTGGGAGGCAGAGCAGGTTCAGGAGAGGAGTGAGGGCAGACGTGATTTCTCGGGGGCTGAGGCCATTCAGGCCCAGGGTGAGAAAGTGTTCCCTGCGCCCGCCTGGTCTTTTTTGGGCTAAACCAGGGGTGGGCAAACTTTTTGACTCGAGGGCCACAATGGGTTCTTAAACTGAACCGGAGGGCCGGAACAAAAGCAGGGATGGAGTGTTTGTGTGAACTAATATAAATTCAAAGTAAACATCATTACATAAAAGGGTACGGTCTTTTTTGTTTGTTTGTTTTAGTTTTATTCATTTCAGACGGGCCGTAGTTTGCCCACGGCTGGGCTAAGCCCGTGAGTAGCCATCATTGCAGCTGTTGTAGGTGTATCAAGGGTGTTTGCGCTGGGCAGCTCAGTGTCCTCATCGGTATTGTGGTGTCCATTTAAGGGACATTCCTTTTTAATAACAGTCTTTTCTCCCCAATCGGAAAAGCTGCCCCCTCTGTGCATTCCAGCTTTCCAATTTATAATTTGGAAGAGGACAGTCTGTAGGGCTAGGTTTGGGCTTTGACATTATACAAGAGTAGCTTTGAACTGTACAGATTTAGATAACCATGCCTGTGAATGTGGAGTGCATGTCCTTTCCCCAGGAGTCTGACAGTGGGAAGCACTGCCCAGGGGCGGTGTGGGGACAGGCGGTGGGGAGGCGGCTGTAACAGTCGAGGTGGGAAGGGAGGTGTGTCTGAACTAGAGCACTGGTTGTGGGCATGAGAAGCGTGGCCTTTGGGATTGCCTGCCTGTGTGTCCCTTCAGCTGGCATCGAGCAGTGTTGATAAAGGACTTCCTTCTCTTCATGTTGCTTGTGTGAAGTGATCACAGTGGAGTGGGGTCCTGTCCGTAAGTCTCTGCAGTGGAGTCGGCCCAAGTGGGTCTGAGCCAGAGCCAGGCCAGTGTTCCCAGACTTCCCAGAATACGTTCCCAGCTGCTAGTGTTCCAGATGTGTGAGTGTGGCCATGTGTGCCAGACACTGCCAAGGTTTTCATCCATTATCTCATTTAAACTTGGTAACGAATCTTGGAGGAAGATGTAAGTTCTAACCTCATTTTATAGATGAGGAAACTGAGGGTGAGGAAAATTAAGGGAGGGTCCCAGACAGACAGGTTACAAATGACAGAGCTGGAATGTGAATGAAGGCCTGTGCCTTACCACCACTCTGCATTAACCACATTTGTTAAGAGAAAAATTCTGACTTCGCCTTTTTGGGGGGGAGAGGGGGGCAAAATAGTTGTTACATAACACTTAGTTGAAAATCCAAATTAGTTTATTGCAAAATAGTAGCAAAGTCCATTTAATTTAACTTCATCTTGTCCTTGATTGTAATGTCCTTGGGTAGACACTGAAGATTCTGTAGCTTTTTTGACTTTGTAGCCTGTTTTTGATTTGTATATTGGTGTCATGAGGAGACAGTGGGCAAATGCTTAGCTGTCTCTGAGCCACATTAATAGTGCAAGGTCTAATGAGTTTAGAAATCTTTCAGTAATCAGATCTGGGATGAGTGTTTGCCTTGTCTACAGGCTTTTTGTCTAAGCATTTGGAGAGGTCCTCCCCGACTTTCAGCAGTCTTGGAGGTTTCACATAGCTCATTCTTGGGAAAGGCAGATGGAAAATCATTAGCCCGTCTCTCCTGCAGCAAATTGATATTTCATCAAACCTGGGCTCTAGTGGGCTTCAGGACGGTAAGCCTTTTACTCCTATAGGATAGTTCCCACAGGGTGCAGTAACCCCGCGAAACTAAACTGTGTACTTTGCTCTGGTGTAGAGAGGTCACCGTGGAAAGCACTCGCTGCCAACTTACTTGACCTGGCAGTGGTTCAGCTCTGTGACAGGTCTACCTCTGATTTAAACAAATTTGAGAAATATGTAAAGTTTTGGAAGCAGTTTTGCACTGATTTGATAAAAGAAACCACAAAACACTGCAGCGCAGGTGTTGAGAATGTTTGAAAGCTGATTGAGGGAAGCAGATGGCTTTAGTCAGTGGCATCCAGCCAAAAGAGCAGGTGCTGGTCATGTGACCGCTGGTTACCAGGGTAATCTGATTGCTCTTGGCGTGCAGATGAAAGGGAAGGGGCCCAGCGTTCAGCTGTAGTATTGTATAATTTGTGGCAGTTAGAGCGGAAATAAATGCTGGAAATGGAGCCTCATAGTGGGGGAGACTTCTGTCCATGTGTAGCGTAAACACTAGGACAGTTGGATGAGGAACTGTTGTATGGATTTTTTTTTTTAATTTAAAAAATATTATTCTTTCTGTGGATCTTTTGGGGACTTCAAGTTTTTAGGACACTGCCTTTTTTTTTTTTTTTTTTTTTTTAAATAAAAAGCACTCTAAACTTAACTGCCATTTACTATAATCTTGACTTGTAAGTTATTTCCTTATGTGGCTGTTTACTATGCTAAAATATTAAAACAAAACAAAATAAAAGCTCTGAGAACTTAAAAATAACTAGTTTAAATTTATCAAAGATTTTATTCATTACAAAAGTACATTTTGTATGATGGGTATTTTATTACATTAACAAGTACTTTTAAAATATTTTATGTGACACATGCTTTACCTAAATAACAGTGTGCTGATGTTTTGGCTTCTTTTCCTTTTGTAGTAGGTGAGACTGAAAAATGCTGTTGAATGCATTCTGTCTGCATACTTACTTGGGAATTTACAAACTTCAGTAAATAAACTTTTTAAAAGTTTAAAAATATTCTCGGTTTGTAATTTTATCAGAATTTTAGGTTTTCTAGAAAGAATAAAATATAATCATTACTGAGGTTGGATTATTTTAAATGTTGGATAACAAATAATAATTGATATTAGAAAATCATGGGGGTGGTTTGGAAATTGGAATGTAAGGTAACACTAGGTGTATGTTTTAAAAGAAAGTCAAAAAGTTCCTAAAGGTGGTGGTAAATGTAAATTAAAAATATTTTGCTAGAGTTTATTCATGACTTTTGAGTTATGTGATATTCAAATCACATTAATATTTTATAGAAACATACTATGGAACATGCACTTTAATTATTGGGGTCGTTTTGCTATATTTTTGTATTTCAGAGACCTAGCTTTTTTTTGAAAAAGGCTATTGTGACTACCTCACAAGATTCCTAGCACCAAAATAAAGCTTATTTTTAATTAAGAGCACAGCATTAATTAAAATTATGTAGAAAAGAAATTTGCTATATATTTTGTTTTATTTTAAAGAGTTGTAAATTGGATAAAAATGGAGTTGGATGATATAAAAGAGGACACCTAATAGTACTTGTCAAAAAGAACTTAAATAGGAGTGTTTATTACTATCTGCAAGAGACACAGAAATGATCATTTTATTTTTCCTTGACAATTTTAAAAAACATATTCTGTATCTTCAATACTCCACAGCGAAGCTACCTCATATCTGAGTTTTCATTATGGCGTGGTGCAATGGCAGGGATTTTTGCATTGTCTATCAGTGGTTCTCAACCTTCCTAATGCCGTGCCCCTTTAATACAGGTCCTCATATTGTGGTGACCTCCAATTTCATTGTTACAAATTGAACATCATTAAAGCATAGTGATTAATCACAAAAACAATATGTAATTATATATGTGTTTTCCGATGATCTTAGGCGACCCCTGTGAAAGGGTCGTTCGACCCCCAAAAGGGTCGCGACCCACAGGTTGAGAACCGCTGGTCTAGATGAACAAATGTACTCTGTGGTTTTTAGGGGTTCTTGCATGCCATTTCTTTTTAATTAGGTTAGATATTTATTAAAGGTCATCAATGTGGGGGTTTGCCATAAAGAACTTAATTGAGAGTACCAGTGAACTAAATGGCCAGCATGCACTGATTCACCAATTGTCATTGATACTTCAGGGATATGAATGTGGGAAATACAGGGCGTGGGGCATGTGGAAAACATCATTAAAAAGTGAACACTAAGTGATCCGCTTTGAATTCTAGTAATAAGAAACCTGATTCAGAAGCAAGTGCTTTGAAGAAAAAGGTCAACAAGGGAAAAACAGAAGGTTCTGAAAATTCAGACTTAGACAAAACGCCCCCACCATCTCCTGAAGAAGAGGAGGACCCAGGTGTTCAGGTAATGCCATTATTCTGGTCCCGGGCCGGGGTGACTTAGCATGGGAAACTCTAGCCGCCTGTCAAGTACACTAGACCTCCCCTGTCTTTGTGATAGAGCTGCTTTAAAGATGGCTTTATTGTCGTCTGGAACGTTATGTCCGTAGTGAGGCGAGCTGGGGGCCAGCGTGAAATTAAACTCCTGACTTTTTGCTCTTGCCATCTTTGACTCTGGGATAAATAAAACAGAGAATCTTGATGTTTATGTGAATATTGGTGTTAACATAATGGATATGTTGGTTTATGTAAAGCTTCATTCACATTTCTGATTTTCCTGAAGTCTGGTTGCTTGTCAGTTCTCTTACTTTGCCTAAAAAAAAAACCAAAAACAGCCAAGATATAATCTGTAGCTTGTCTTAAGGTTTCTGATATCCCATGGTGAGAGTTGAGATATATTCCTGTAATACTCCAGTTTCCGTGAACATGTTAGTGACTTTTTGGATGGCAATGCTGCACCATGTTTCAGTGTTAGATTCTCCTGACTTTTAAAGAATTTCATAGGAATCAGCTGAAAAACTGGTCCTGAAATAGACATTAGGAATTCAGGTTCCTGTGTGTAAAGCACACAGCCGTCACTGTCACTGATTGGACTGTAAGGTGAGGGACCCTTACACATGATCGTTAAACATTATTTCCTTGTTATGTTCCCTGGAAGCGTGCCAGTGTGGTCCACTGGGATGGCTGGGAATGTAACCTCTGTGACTGACATCTAAGTTATCATGGAGCTGTTACCAAGGAGTCCCGCTAGACGAGGAAGCCAGCCCCTAGAAGCTTGCTTGATTTTTTTCTAATCGTTCAGTGAACTAAGTACTTTCTGCCCACATCTCTTCCAATTCACTTAAAGGTTAGAAACAAAATATTTGCAGTATACAGCTCTGTTCTAAAGAATTTCAGATAGCTTTCTTTCTTTTTAGTAGAACTCCCTGATAATACCTGTAACTGCACAGACTGGCCTAATCTAAGGCCTGAAAGGGAGAGAAGAGAGTGTGTGTGAATGAGTGTGTGTTGTTTTGGTTTAGTTTTATAACTAACATAGCGATACCTCTGGCAGTTGGGTTAATTTTGTAATTCACTTTGATTTTACATGGCAGTGACAAGTTATTGGGAAGGTAAGTAGATATCTTTTTTCATTGCTTAGGGAGTTTGAAACTAAAGTATTTTAATGATTTTGAATTTCATTTTTATGCTCAATGGTGTTTTTCCCCCCTGAATTGTGTTTGCTTAAACTAAGCCCTTTATTACAGTAGTATTTGGGCAATTTAAGAGGATTTATTTACACGAATCAAGAAATTCTGTTTTTTCACAAACACTGCTGCCGTTTTTTAGAAGTCTGTTTTAATACAGTTTCAAATGGACTTTATGAAATACTAGTTTTGAGGTATTTTTTCTTCTGCATTTTAGTTATAGAAAAATGATAATCAATTCAAGTGAACATCAATGCATCCTTTCTAATTGGCTAAAGCTTAACTGTCGTGGGTTCAGTAGCCAATACAAGCAGCCACACGTAACTCAGGTGCAGAAGGCAGGCCTTTCTTGGTGTCTTTGACACAGGAAGTGATGCTGACTGCTGTGTATTGTGTTTCTTCCTGTAGCACATGCATAAAGGACTGAAGTTCTTGAGTTTTGTGATTGGTTTATTTAAACGTTAGCAATGCCATATAATTTTAATGAACTCAAAATTGTATCCCAAAGTTACTGCAACAGTGAGATCATGGAAACACATTTAAATTTCCTCTTCAGTACACCTGTTTTAACTACAAATGGCTTTTCTAAAGCAATCCAAGTTTGACAAGTTGACCTATGATTTTAGGGCCAATTCAGAAGCCTTGCATTATGGTTTAAACGTAATTCATACATTTCATTTTGACTCATAAAAATATTTCAAATAGTAATGTTAACAGACCATACTAACGCACATTATATAATAAATAAATTTATTTTATATTGGGAAATTGTAAAAGGAACTTTTATGCCCAAAATAAATGAACTTAAGATCAATTATTATTTAGAAAGTGGAGAAGCCATAAAACACTTAAAAATTTCAGAAGATTGAGTTCTAATTGTATTTTGTTTGTTTTTTACTATTATTAAGTGACCTTGTATCCACTACTAAGCCCATCATTATTTCATAGATTAATAACATAAGCTTGATATGAAGAGACACTTTCATTATAAAAGTTACACTGACCGATATATAAATGTCTATTTAAAAAGAAAAAATTGCCCTGAGTTATTGTATTGGTACATTTATTTACTATCAGAGTGGTATTTAGTGTAAACCACAGACTTATTTATGGGTGTTTACTTACTTATGCTGGAAGAATACTCTGACAGTGTGGCCCCAACCATGGAAACCTGATAAAGCATCATAGATACATCATTAGTAATACATTACTCCTATTGTAATGACATAAAGGTGAAAATATAGATTAATCCATTTCAATTTAGTTAAATTGATATATTAAATGGAATATAGACATTATGCTAAATATCACAAAATTAAAATATTATTCCTGATAATATCCTTTTATATCTTAAACTGACAGTCTTCTTGAGAAGTGAGGGATGGTAATGGGAAGAGAGAGAGGAAGCTATTCAAAGCATCTAGGGCTTGGCCTTGTAGTAGCCTTATTGAACTCTGATTTTTCTTTGGAAAGGTGGGGTAATTAATGATGACTTTAATTCTACTAATTGAATTTGGCATTACTATGTACCATGCACTGTTCTAAATGCTTGAAATGAGTTCCCTTATGTGATCTTCATAGTCTACTCATGAGGTAGTGACTATCATTAACCCATTCTACAGACCAGGAAACTAAGATCCACAGCATAACTCGCCTAACTCCACCAAGTGAGAGTCTGGGCTCATTTAAACATGGGCACTTAGCTACAGAGCCTACCAGGTCAAATTGCCCCCCCCCCCCCCGCCACCCCCCCGCCCGCTCATCTCCCCCGGATGTGAGTAAGGTTGGCAGATGGCAGAACCCCTGCTGGTTTCTGCTCCACTTTGACCTGGAATTGGTTGTTCTGGGCAGGGCTGACGAGGGAAGGTCAGAGGAGGAACTCCCTCTGGTCTAAGCCACTGGGAAGTCTGTTAATAAGATTTACTCCAAATACCTGTGTCAGAAAGGTGCTTTATATCTTTGTAGCCGTGACTGTGGAAGGCTAAGAGTTCACAGTCCCAAACAGCCCATTTGATGGTCATAGTACACGGAGTTTGTATTTTGAGCTGCTCTCCCTTTTGAGAGCAGAGAGAGCAGGATCTTAATTAAAATCAGTCCTCTTTGAGCAAGAGGCTGGGTTTGTTGGTCCTGACATGAGCCATAAGGCACTGTGTCTGACCCCTTTGGGCCCACATAGTGGGTAATTTGCCTCGGCCTATCTGTCCAACTTTAAAATCCACAAGGCTCTTTAAAAGGTTTTATTTCATAATTTTTAGAAAAATGTTTGAGTGACCTCTCTTAATATTTTTATTTCTTCTATGTGCTTTGCAAACTCATTGTAATCTTGCATTTATCAGAGGTTTAAAATGTCATTTTAGCGTTGTCTTTGATTTTATCCCAATACATTGATGAAAAGGTTATTTTCTCCCCATTTTTAATTAACTGACAAAAGTAATTATTTTATCAGAAAGGTTAAACAATTATTCTGAACAAAATGTGCAAAACCATTTTCCTTCTGCCATGTACTTCCCTCCCCAGAATTAATAGTAATTAACAATTTGCTATGTGTCTTTTCACATTTTTTGTTATTGCAAACATGCATATTATACATTCATTTTTTTGCAAATATTTATTGAGTCATGAAGTAAACAAGACATACCGTGTCTTTGAGGCGTTTACCTATAGGAGTGGGCAGAAGTAGGTTTATAGTTTTGTGAGCATACAAAAACAGCTTATTCTTGTATTATTTATTTATTATAGTATTTGTCTTCTTGTTATTTTGTGTCCTTGCTTATGATTTACATATTTAGGGAATGATGGCTGATAATTTAAACCTGCTTTTGTTTTGTGTCCTTGCTTATGATTTACATATTTAGGGAATGATGGCTGATAATTTAAACCTGCTTTTGCCCACCCTGGTATTGAAGATCCACACATACAAATACACACACATGGTTTTTTGTTATCTTAAATAGAATTATATGCTACTGATTATGAGACTTGATTTTCTTTTTATTTCACAGTTTCTCTTGCAGATATTCTTAAGATATGTTATGTTATGTAGCTTAGCAGAAGTGCAGTTGCTGGGCCAGAGGGTGGGCATGTTTTAAATGTGCACAGATACGACCACACTGTCCTGCAAAGACATTTTGACCACTGTGGTGAGAGAGGACCCATTTTGCTAACAATCCTACTAATACTAGCTATTACCAATCTCTTACATTTTAATTAGTGTGGTAAAAATATTTTTTTTAAATAAAATTACTTTTCATAGTCATTTATTATAGATTCTGATGTTCAGTCCTTTATCTCTTCAGAGGTTTCATACTGTTTCTTTTAGGACCAAGATTAAGATGCAAGCCTTCTATTTAAAGGTCCTCTTAAATATTATTGGTTCCTTGGATAAGAGTATACTAGTGTTTATCTATAATCGTACAATAGGAAAATAATGTAGATTATCTTCCAGTGCCTTCACTTTTATGAACTTTTTATTATGGGTAAAATTGTAAATGTACAAAAGTTGAGAGAAAAGTATAATGAACCCGTATGTATCCATCACGAGCCTCAAAATTGCCTTCACTTTTGAGTGGTACACTGGCTGAATGGGGAATAAGATTTGTTGGTATCTCCATTTCCTAGTTGAAGGTCAGGTAGCTGGGGCAGTGGCAGAGCCATAGCTAACTCAGGTGGCTGACTTCAGATCCCCTAACCCCTACCCTCTATTTCCATGATAATCATTGCCACTATGGTCTCTTAGGCGATTTACAGGGTTAAAGCTATTTCTTCTTTAAGATTAATTTTTTAAAATACCCACCTCACCATCCTGAGAAGCTGTAACGCGCATCAGTGATGGATTTTAAACTCCCTTCGTTGGGTTTGTGTTTTAGAAGAGACGGTCCAGCAGGCAGGTGAAGAGGAAGCGCTACACTGAAGACTTGGAGTTCAAGATTTCTGATGAGGAGGCAGATGATGCAGATGCTGCTGGGAGAGACTCCCCCTCGAACACCTCGCAGTCAGAGCAGCAGGTTAGCGTCCAGATTTGTGTGGTTCTCGCTGCAGTTGGCGCGATGGACTGGGAATGTTGTAGCCGGAACCTGAAAAGTTTAGCAAAGCAATGGAGTTGAAGCTGGAGAGCATTCATCTAATGTTGGTTACCGTGCTATGGGACACGAGCTGTTTAGCAGCATCTTTTAAAACGCCTTGTTCGCCAAATGTATTTTTATACAAGCCTGTGATGTGTGATTTGACACAGTTTTGGAGAATGAATGGCCTGTGTTGAGGAAAAGTCGGAACTAGGATGCATGGAAACTGAATTTACTTCTGAAAATTCAATGCTGTAGCTTCTGGGACTTTAATAAACCACTCAAGCTTGTCTCCTGCTGTTAGGCACCATAGGAGCCCCTTTATGAAATTACTGCCTTGTAGTACCCAGCAGGGCATACTTTATTCTCTGTGCAATGTAAATGACATATAAAATAGTTGGTATAAAATATGGGTAGTAACTTAGGATTGATTATGGTAAAGATCTTTTAAAAAATATATAGATTATATAATAATGCCCTTTTCTTACCATTATTGTTCTTTAGTTAACCACTGGCAACCCGTTGTAAAACATATTAAATGGAGTTTTGTATTTTATTTGGTAATCTGTGCTATGTTAGATTGTTATGTAACGTTTCATGTGACCTCCATGGATAAAAGCCGCCTACAATAGTCACAGAATGATGAGTATATTTACCCCGTGGGTTTAGATGAAGAAAGTTGTGTTTTTGACGGCTCCCATGCAGAGATGGTTTTCTTCTGGCAGCTGGAGTTTCTGAATGCTCTCTGGCTTCAGGGATCCGTGCTAGACCACGTAATTAAACTATATAATCACGAAGCAATACACACGGATCTTCCTTTTGCCTTTGTGCAGAGTGAGATTTTTGTTCTTTTCAATCATATTTTTCCCTACTGCGACTTTGTTTCCAGTGTTTTAAAGGGTAGGAATTTAAAGGGCATAGAGGTAGATGCTAAAAGGGAATGGTTTCTTGCTTTTACAGCTTATCATGAAATGTTTTCCATCTGGATGGATTCATTCTCCTTTCTTTTTTAGGAATCTGTTGATGCAGAAGGTCCATTGGTAGAAAAAATCATGAGTAGTCGTTCCGTGAAAAAACAGGTGAGCACCGTTTGCAGTGATCAAAAACGATGGTGTATGTGTGACCCTTAAATTATTTTTTGCTTTATAATTTTCTTTAGAGAGTTTACTATTGGGAAATAAAACTTCTGGTGACAATGCTAATGCATCTGATGTATATAGCCCAATATAAATCTTTGGGATATTCAGACCCAAATTAAGATATATCAACCAACCAGTGCTTTATTACACCATTTAGCGTAGGCAAGAAACTCAAAAGTCTCAAACAAATGTATAGGACTTTCAGGGTTAAAGGCTGCCTTTTTCATAAATATTATTCATAAAAATAGTAAATATGAATTGATCTCTCATTTCCCTTAAGAAGAAGGTTCCTTGCCCTTCCCTAGCTCCCCATCCCCCATGGAAGTTTATCATTTTAGGGAATAGGTGTTTTCTCATACAATTAAAATATTAATATCTTTTTCTCAGTGCAAAGGTGAAATACAGAGCTATTTTCAGTGTAATTTTTGAAGATCTCACTTATTCTTTAAAATTATTAAAAAATTCATGCTGATCTGCAAAGGTGAGCTCTAAGTACCTGTCATTAGTCTGATGACTTTGTCACTGAGGGACACATACGTGGTGACAAAGAATTTCAGTAACACTGTTTTCTTTTACTATTGAGATTCCTGATTTCATCCCAACTATCTCACTTCTTGCCCAGTTTGAGAAAATGCTTTCTGTAGTTTGAAGAATGGCATAGGCACCCAGGTGCGTTTACATATTCCAGCATACAATTTTTGGTGCCTCTAGAAAGTGGTTTTCTTTAGATATAGGTGTCAGTCTTTCAGCTTGAGTCATTGTCAAATACACAGGTCTTTCTTTTTATTTGCTTTCAAGGTGGGTTAGAAACAACCTCATTGTTTTGAAATGTAAAATAAGTTGTTGTGTGTGTTCTTGAAGTAAAATATATACAAAGTGTAACTTCACATCTAGAGAGCTAGGTAAAGGGAGGATTATGGGACTTAAAGTGAGATCCCAGGCTTATCAAATAGGAAACCTTTACTATTCAATACTATCTCGATCAGGGGTGGGGAACATCTGGCCTGCTGGCCGTATGAGGCCTGAGAAATCACTCCGTCTGGCCCTGCCAAGGCATTAGGGCGAGTTAATTAAGTGTTTGACCACATATAGTAGGCTCATTTTTAAGTTGATGATTCTGTATGGCCCACGAACGATGTTATAAATATCCAAATGACCCTTGGCAGAAGAAAGTTTCCCCACCCCCGGTAGACTGAAAATGGTATGGCACCAGAAGTAAACTTCTCTACCTCATGGCAATACTGTTTGCTTTTTCTATTATTCAAATTGGAATTGAGTGTCGAGGGTATGGAGGGGTGTATGGAGTGGCTGTCTGGCGACTCTGAACATGAGGATTTCCTCTCTGATGAATTAAATCTCAACCAAATTTCCCACCTGTTCAAGCAGAAATGAGTACTGTTTAACTCATTAGAAAGGTTGTGTTTTTTTGGTCCTACTAATGACACTAGAACTGTTAATTTGTGCATTGTGGATATATGGTAAAATTTAAATACTTGACATGCTTTAAAGAATAATCCCCTTCACTGAATTGAAGTGACTTGTTTGAGTAAATAGCTTGTGGTTTGGACAGGATATATTAATTTTCATTCATTTAAAAGTGCTTCAGCAGGCATACTCAGCAGGTTTGGGGGTTGAAATGATAATTAGCTCTATTATCCAGAGCTACTTAGACTATGCATTAGACATTGCTTTTTTCCTTCTATTTTGCCCACTTGAGGGCTTTATTTTTTAATTATTTTTTAATTTTTACTTTAAACAGATAGGTACCCACATTTTAGAAATAGGTATTACCATTTACAGATGACCAGGTTTATCTTATCAAGGAATTTAAAATTATTATAATCTATATGAGGGTGGAGTGTTTGTTGAGTTAGAGCATTTTAGGATCTCCATGGAGAATATTAATGGAAACATTTCTCTGGAGGGGGAGATAGGCCTTGAGGTATGATTGAAGTAAGAGGAGTTTGTGGAGCTCATCGAAGTGCTTGTAGATTACCAGTATTTCATAAAGGACAACAAAAAAAACAATCGGAAGGTTGTCCACATTAGCAGGTACTAACTTTTTAAACTGCTAATGTTCTCGAAATAGCTATGTTAGTTATCAGTTTTACTACATTGGAGGGAAGTATGGCACATAGAAACAAAAGGAAATTTGAGATTTTCCCGTGGATGCTAGCTGTGCCTGCTGGTCTGTTTCCTATTACCATGAATAATTGAAGAAGTAACTCTGAGAAGGTAGGTGCCTTTATCTCCCCCTGGTAGCACTATAGAAACTGGCTATGAGCTCTCAGAGCTGACCCTGCACGGTGCTGACACATAGTGGGGATGCAGTTGATGGTTTTCAGAGTTAGTTGATGTCACCACAGTAGCCTAAAGAATGATGTGTTACGATGGAGAGTCACAGAGGTCCCCTATTTAACAGCATCTCCTTTTAAGTAAGGGCAGCTGAAGAGGCACTTAATGTTTTTCTAAACCCAAATGAATATGGGTGAGACCCAGTGCAAGGGATAGAGTTGATCCGTGTACTTGAATTTTGAGGTAGATTTAAGAATGGACTTTTGGATGGCATAAAGGTTAATTCTTTTGTTTTCCACTTTTAGTCATTATGTAGCCCTTTCTGCTTTGAGGAAAACTCAAATCCTTTTTGTATCAGAAGGCCTGAATTGTTTTAAAAGTTAACTCTGACTGTATTCCTTAACATTCTTTATCTTTCTCTACACCATATATCTTTTGAAGAGCTTATTTTAAATCCCAAGGTGTTTGTTTTAATCCTCACTAGCTAAACTCAGGAACAAAAAAATAGAATATAAGGAAGGCCGAAGTCTTCATCCCATTTGTTCCTAAGTCCTTTTCTCCTTAAGTGAGCCTACGATATGGCCTCTCTCATAGAGTATGTGGTGGGTTGGCCCAGAGGTAGGAAAGGTTCGTACCTTTGCCGTATTGATACTTTGAGGTGCATTCTCATTCTTTTGTGCATTCAGAGAATTTTGTTCTTTTTTTATACTCAAGTGAAGCTTTGTTTCTGCAGAGTGACTGCCTAATTTACTAAGAAAATGCTTAGGAAAAGGCCATTCATTCTTTCAGGCTCTACAGGGTCATCATTTGCCGGATGGTTGGTGTAGATTCCAGGTGATGGAGGAGTTGCTTCGTTGCCTGATCAAAGTTCATGTGAACAGTGAGGCAAGAATGGCTTAATATGTTTGGAACTTAATTATCATATGAATAATAGGAATTTCAATAGATTCGTTTTGGAGTCTAATGAAAAACATATACACATTTCTCAAATTATTCTGTTGAACACATAAAATTACTTTAGAGGCCTGTCAAATTTAATGGTAGCCATTCAAGGAATAAAGTTGAGTGAAATTTGTGTGTGTGCGCAGAAATAGTGTCTTGACTCAGTTTTTTATTATATATGCCTGCTATGAAATGACTTCTGAAAATTAAGGCATTGGGGGTGGTAGGGATTGGAGCTGTTTTCAACTATCACCAGAGGCTGGTCAAACTGACCACCATTTAGAATAATTAAAACAATGCTCCTGAGGGCTTATGAATTTTCACTTTGGTTAATTGTTTTGCTATTAGTAATGTAGAAGCAATCAGCATGATAATATTTATGTGAAATAAATGTTACAAAACAGTTCTATTTATAGTTCTAGGGGCAAGGAGGTGATTCAGTGTGTAGTCAGTTAGAGCACAGGCTTATAATTTGGGACATCCGAAAGCAATGCCACACCAGCTCCAGGTGCCTCTGAATGGGGCCTCAGAACCTAATCGCTTCCTCTGAGACAGCTCTAGACCTCATGTTCGGCATCTCCACAGCAGGTTCCCAGAGGAAAAGCTGATCATGATGAGAAAATGGGTATTAACCAGAGTCAGGGACAGCTGATGGTTGTAAGAGTCAGAGATTTCTGGGAACAGAATACAGAATGAAAACCATCTCTGTTGTCCAAAAGCTGATCCTGTGTGCTTTGGTGCCCACTTTGCAGTGATGGGGTGGTGAGACCGCTTAGAGTGAGATGGAAAGGACGGCACTGCAGGAAAGATTGGGGAAAGGGGAAACATTGAAGTGAGAGACACATCGATTGGTTGCCTCCTGCACACAGGCACAGGATTGAGCCTACAACCGAGGTCCGGGCCCTTGACTGGAATCAAACTTATGACCCTTCAGTCCATTGGCCAATGCTCCAACCACTAAGCCAAGCCAGCTAGGGCAGTAGATCAGACATTTGAATTCCATTCTAGGTTTCAGTTTGATGGTATGCTATGAGAAGCATCAGAAGGTATAGGCTCACCTTGGTTTTTGATTTTCTCTGGTTATCTGCTATCTTATCTTTGCCTTTCTACTAGAATCTCCAGTTCTGTGCAAAGATAACATAACCTTGAAATCACTGCTAGAAAAAAGTAAGATGGGTCCTAGATGCATTGTCACTAGAATTGGCTACATTTATCTCTAAATTAACTCCAGGTTTATGTTGCTGGCTTTTGAAGACATGCGGCAAACATTTCATTTTGGACAACTAAAAGTCTGAAACATCGATGGTGTTCTGAGTACTTTGGTTTAAGGAGCTGTTTTATGGCTGTGACCGTTTTTAAATCCATTATGGCAGAACCCGATATTTATGGGTTTGGACCACCCTCATGAATACTGTCTTCTTGGTGACCTTTAGGCAGGTGGAAGAACTGTTTCAAATTTGGGTTTAACTGGTACATGTGAGGGTTTTGAAGAAAAGTTTAAGTTCACAATCTTGGCAATAGTTTGAAGATTAGGAATCGAGGGAGACTGTAGCCTCTCTCGTGTTCCTACTTGCCTTCACTTTTTTTTGCAGTATTTCTGAGACAGCTTAGCTCAGTGTGACCCTCAAGGCAGGTTTGGGTGCTCTTGTAAGAGTGTACAACCAATTCCTAAACATCTGTAAGTAGTGTTTATATCTGTATCCCCGATTTATCTGATCAAATGTTCCAGAAGAAAATTACACATTATGACTTGTTCAATAGCCTAAAACCAAAAGGAAAAAATGTCTTGAAAGGCATGCTGAACATGTCATACGAGTGGTATCTTCTGCATCCACTGTGGTCGGTAGGATCAGGGGAGATGGTACTGATAAAGTGACCAGGGAAGTCTTGATTTGGCTGGCGTGCATCACAATGCTAACCTTACCTCAGTGTAGTATTTGGAGTGTTAATTTTATTTGGCTGCGATGCATGTGAGACATCTTGTCTGAGAGATTTTAATTGTACCAGTGAGTAAAACTAAAACTGTGAATACTGATGCACTGAAATTACAGCATACGCACAAGGTTTAGTTTTATACGGTTTCTTGTTTAGAGTTATTAACTATATGGAGGAATAAATGTCTTTTAAATATTTTAAAACATTACAAAACCCACAATGTAAAGTTGCCATGAGGCAGCCAAGAATAATACATATGGCATTCAGGAGAGCAGTTGCTAATTGGCTGCTGCCTGAGAAAATGGTACACTTGGCGTCTACTTAACACTGTGGGTTTGGCAGGAAGCCAGATTTGGGGTCAGGTTGTTGTGAATGAAGCTGCATGTGGTTAGGGAGGAGTTAAAATGATTCATGTCTTAGGAGCCTTAGCACGTCGAGCAACATGCAAGGGCCTAAGTGTGTGTGTCGGGCTACAACCCCCGGCCGCCCACCAGCTCACAACGTGCTCGTTGCTACCAGGACGGCCTGTGCTGCCTCTGTCATTCCCATTTCATGTGCGGATGGGAGTAACCCTTTCCTTTTGGAATATTCCAGTAGATGGTTTTAAGTATGTGCCTGAAATTTTCTTTTGTTGCAGAAGGAATCTGGAGAGGAGGTAGAAGTTGAGGAATTCTATGTGAAATACAAAAACTTGTAAGTAGATTGTGATTTTTTTTTTTTTTTGAATTGGGGAATATATTTTTTTGAAGTACTAAAAAATGCTTTAAAAATATTGGGAAAATAAAAAGTAATTGGAATTTGGAAACTGTGGTGTGATTTATTTAGAACTTTGAAGACCATTGCCTAATACCTTTTGATATTTCATGAATTTAATTTTCTGGAAAAGGTGTAATGGGTGTAAAGATGGGCTAACTTTCATGCATAACCATGAAGTTCTTTTTAGAGGGCTAAAAACTCCTACAGTAAGAGAAAGTGAGTAGCAATACTACTCGCCTATCCTCTGAGGAGGAGTTTCACTCTGTGGGGCTCCCCTTCCTCCCTCTCTGTGTGTGGGATGCTGGGCACTTGAGGCGAGAAGTCCACCGTCAGGCCAAAGCCCTAGAGAACCGTGATGTCACTCGCATGTCGAAATGCAGTGAGCTGTGTTTACCTGTTTTTGTTTCTGATTTTTGTTCGGTGAAGTTGAATTGCATAACTTTTAAAAAACTGAATTGAAAACACAGTGTGTTGTTCTGCATTGTAGATGTAGGCAGTTTACTAGGACTGAACACACATTTTGGCGAGACAGCATCGTTTTAAGGGTCAGTAGTCATCTTGCTGAAGAAGACTAAGGACGTTTTCCAACCTACGTAACAGTCACAGGGCAAGGACGAGAATACTCACTGATAGCATAAACATTGATTTTTCTTTAAACGTTCTAGGAGAAGGAACTCAAATACCATATTAATAAATTCCAGGGTTTAAAGACAGGCTTTTGGAGTTACTGTCTGCACAGCCTAAGAAAACTTACCCGACCCTCGATAATAAAAGTATCAGCCTCGTGCTTTTTATCCTTCTGCAGTGCTGCACTTGGCATTGTGTTAATGAAGTTCTGTGAGCAGAACCTTTTACCAAGTAAGAAGATAAGGAAGCCTCTTACCAGTGTACAGTGAGAGTACAAGGAAATACGGAGTCTGGCAATAAAAAATGTTCAGTAAACATTCAGTGTCGTCATCATTTGCTACTCAGAGCACGATGAGTTTGCACAGTTGGAAATTATGGGTATGACATGATTTTATATAGTCGTATAAAGAGTGTGGTAAGGGTAGGTAAGGAGGAGATAACAAAGTAAGCCAGAGAGAGTGAGATCTTGGTACACTTACCAAATTAAAGTTAGAGCAAAGGTGCTTAAGTAATGATTCCATAAAAGGCACCGGCAGGTAGGCACCCACTAAATCAGGGTGGGGCAGTGGGACCGGGGGTGCTGGTCAAAGAAACATCTCACCTGGCTGGCACAGCCCCAGAGGAGCTCACGGTGCCCCTGCCCAGGGACTGCTGCCAGGCCGGGGGGCTGGCCGTCCTTCGTCAGTCAGATGAGAGGACGCAAAGGTTCTAAAACAACAGCTTTCCTAGCTGACATTATTGGGATCTAAAGGAAATTAAAAAGTCCATAAAATGAACAGTTTCTGTTAACCTTTTTTTTTTTTTTTTGGACATAATTTCAGTTTTACAGGAATAATGCAAAAATGGTACAAAGAATTTGTTTTTCATTGTGTAATTAAAAAGTGTCTTGTAGAAAGATACTTTGAAATAAATGTGATAATGGCTGCTAAGTGGTGATTTAGTGATTTCATCACTCCTAAATTTATTAGTTGGGTTTCAACTATAAGGAAGAGCTTTAATCTTTTTACCCACTTGCTTATTTATAGCCGTGCAGACTTGTGGCGTTTTACTTGACTCCGTGGGTCATAATTCTTTATTATCATTTACTTTGCTCGCAGTATCCCAGATTTGACCATTGGGAGCCCCTTCAATCCGGCCCCTCTCTCCTTTTGCCTTGTCCTGTCTTCTCTGAGCTCTTCCTTCCTTTTCTGACACAGGGCGATGCTCCAGACTCCTCTGGCAGTTTTCTTAGATGTGCTCATGGCTGCTGGGGAGTCATGCTTGGCCCTCTCAGTGGACAGGGCTAAGAGGGGGGTGCTTATGTCGGCGTGTGCACTTACGTGCATGGACATATGTATGTCTCTGTGTCATATATACACACGTCACACACACATGCATGTTAATTACATAAACACACACCTCTACCTACCAACCTAACAACAGTAAAAAACAGTGCCTTTATATTGATAACTTCCAAATTTATTTCAACCCCACAGGGTTTATTCTATCCTTTCCCCTTCTAATATTAATAACTCCCTTCTTTGACCACAAGAAACCTGACTCTTATTTTCTATAATATGTTTGCTTATTTGTCAGTCCTAGAATATACAGGAAGTGGTTTCAGAAAGACTAGACCACATTTCTGTGAAGAAGAAGCCTGCTAACAAGTTCATTTGGCATTTGTTTACAGTTTTTTCAGTTTAGCCCGAGGGTACAGAGGCTAAATCCTTTGTTCAGATTTCCTTGGGCTAGTTCTTCTCCTCCTCCTGCCCCCTTTCAGTGTGGTTATTTATTTGCTACATAGTTTGGTTCATTAGTTTCTGTTTGTATTTGTATTCCTTTTTAGCTCCCTGCCCCCATTCTTACTGATACATATAATTCAAGTTCATGAAATATTCACTGGTTCAGAAATCAGAATTACACACCAAAGAAGTGTTACCCCCCTCTCCACCCCGTTCCTGCTTTCCTTCTTATTCCCAGATTTATCCTTTCCAAAATTTTGCCATGAGCATGCATAGATATGTGTATGTGTGTATGTGCATATATATAAAATATAATACTTATTTCCCCTTTTTGCACACAAAAGAATAGCATATTAGTAGTATGCATTTGCACTTGGCTTTTTTCACAAGACTGCATTCTGGAAATGACTTGACAGTTCATAAGGTCTTCATTCTTTGTTACAGCTACGTAGTACTCCATTGCACGGCTGTCTCATAGCTTATTCAGCCAGTCTCCTCTATAAGTGGCTTCTGATAGTTTACAGTAACAGATAATGCTGCAGTAAATATTCCCACACCTGTATATTTTCGAATTGTTGGAGGCATAGCTTCAGGGTGAATTCCTAGAAGTGGGGTTGCAAGATCAAAGGCCGAAGGTACATGCAGCTCTGTCATTGCCACATTTCCTTCCATAGGCCTGTGTCGGTTTGCATCCAGTCCGCAATGGCAGAGAGCACCCGCTTTCCCTCAGTCTTTCCAACAGAGTGCAGTTTACTTTCTACTTTTTGTGAGAAATTGTATTTCAGTGTAGTTCCAAGTAGCATTTATTTTTATTCTGAATGAAGTCGAACATATTTTCATAAGTTTAATGGCATTGTATATCTTATTTTGTCAGTTGTTTGTTCATGCCTTTTGCTCATTTTTCTGTTGTGCTCTCCTCAATTTTTAAGTATCCTTTATATGGGATATTAGTTCCTTATCTGTGTTGTATATTGCAGCTACCTTCCCTCACCCCCAGTTTCGATTCTCTTTTAACTTTATTGCATTGTAAATTTAAATATCTATATTTATACAGTTATACCTATTAATCTTTTCTTTTATTGGGACTGGCTTCTGAGTCACAGTTAGGAAGCCTTTCCCTGCGTCCAGGTTAGAGAGGAATCGCCGTGTTTTCCTCTAGACTCCAGAGCTCGCATGGATTCATTGTCTGTGTGTAGGTGCCTCATCCACTTGGTGTTTAGCTCTGTCCCAGCTGTTTGAGGTGCAGCTAAAGATACATATTTATTTGACTCTGTATCTGTGGTTTAGTCTAATCCTTTCGTCGTGAGCCTGTGCACACTGTTTTCCTTATAGAGGTTTTACAGTGTGTTTTAATATCTGGATTCCCCTAAGATCATTTCCGTTTTTAATGTTTTCTTTGATATTCTTGCATGTTTATTTTAATATTTAGTTCAGCATTAAGTACTCTTGCTCCATAAAAATGCTTGTTTATATTTTTATTTACATTGTGTTGATTTGCATATTTATAATGTTGATTCAGACTGTCTAAAAACAAGGATATCTTTACAGTTGGTTCAACTCTAATTTTGTGTCTGTTACAGGAGAGTTTTAAACATGTCCTTATATTAAGTTTCACACGTTTCTTATTAAACTTACTAGTATTTTATCTTTGTTGATATTATAAAAGAGATTTTTCTGTAACATGACATCTTCTCACTTGTTATTATTTGTGTGGATGGAGACTGTTGACTTAACTTTATACCCTGCTACATTACTGGAATTATTTTATATTTTGAATTAATTTTCTAATTAATTCTCTAGGGTTTTCCAGTTATGCAATTATATCATCTACAAATAGAGATAGTTCTACTTCTTATTGTATTGCTCCTCCTGCTTTCTCTCATCTAATGGCATTGGATAATGCCTTGAATATGATACTGAATAATAGTGGGGAGAGAGCACACCCTTCACTTGTTTCTGATCTTGGTGAAAAGCCTGGGGTGGGGTTTTTCTCCTTATAGTGAAGCAGAGTTACTGACCGAAAACTTCAGCCCAGTTTGTGAGAGAGAGAAGCACTTGTGCCCACCTCCCGGTCACGCCGGTGGTGCTTCAGAGGCCTGCGCACTGCAGTCAGGATAAGAGCACTGACTGCACGCAGCCCCTTCCTCCCCAGGAGCTAGGAGACTAGGATAGGTTATGCTTACATTTGCTTCTGGTTATAGCAGTACAGAGTACTATATATTGAGAATTTGGAAGATCAGGGTTGAAAGTAGAAAATAAAATACTTGCAATCTTACCACCACAAAATGATCATTACTAACATTTTGATGCATTTTCATCTAGTGTGTTTTCTCTATGAATATGTATGTACAGGGTTTATGTCAATTCATATCTGTATAGGCATATATATTTAAAGTCAGTGTCTCCCTCAGTCAGTTGTAGTACTAAATCAGTCCTCCCTTTGAAAATGCCTATTAAACATTACGTAAATATAAATGATATGATCCTTAATATCATAAGTGTTCCCATATCATTAATCATTTTTGAAAGATTTCATAATGGCTGCACAGTTTCTAAGAGTAAGTACCTTGATTTTGAAAGAATATATATATATTTATTTTCAAGCCCCTCATTTCTTTTTAATGCCCTCACTAATAAGAGAAATAAGTGACACTTGAGGCCATCAGGGGTAGGGAGAGAATGATGGTACTAAAGAATATTGAAATACCAAATAAAATAATGTCAAAGTTACCATAAAGCATTAACTATATACCTGTAAGTGCTGGGGAAGGAAAAGGAGGATGGAGAGTATTGAAGTTGAGGTTAGAGAAAACACAACGTGCTCAGAGCAGGCTGATGAGTCTGAAGGGGAGGGGATGTGCCCATTGCAAGGACAGGGTAGACATTAGAGACTGAGAATGCACAGGGAACAAGGGGCATCATTGCAGAGCTGGAAGGGCTGGGCTGGGCTGGGCTGGGCTGGGCTGGGAGGCAAGAACTGGCTAGGAGCAGTTAGGGGCATGGGTGATCAGAGGGCGGACGGTGGGCCCTTCTCTCTGATTGCTCTGGATAGGACTAAGTGTTAGGTTTGCCTTTGCTATTTCACATTTGGAATTTGAGTTCTTTTAACTTGATGAAAACCTTTTATTTCTCAATTAATGGTAAAAGGCTCAAAATATACATTCATAATTAAGGCCACCCTCTAGTTTTAACTGTTTTGTATTGAAGTGTAATCCATTTACTTATAAAACACCTTGTTGTTGGGTTATTTATTTATTTATTTATTTTATGGGAAGTGGATAAAAGAGCTGGGGGCTAGGACAGAAGGCACATTTTAGGCACTGTTACTGATTTTCTTCTCTTAGTCTCAAAAGTTAGTAATTATGTTGAATGTTGCTCAGCAGCCTGTATGAGTAAACAGGTTATTTTGCTAATTAGCTGTTTAGTTGACTTTGGGGGAGCTATAAAAGACATATAATAAAGGATTCATTATTTTTCACATGTTTCAAGTATATTATTTTATTTTTTTTAGCTCTTATCTTCATTGTCAATGGGCATCTGTAGAAGATCTGGAAAAAGATAAGAGAATTCAGCAAAAGATTAAACGATTTAAGGCAAAGCAGGGCCAGAACAAATTCCTTTCAGAGGTATGAAATACCTGGTTAATTTTCAAAGTATTTACTTTATTTAAATGTTATGAATTTTGAATTTTATTAAGAAAAACTAGTTTGCCTCATTTGATACTGTTACTTGCATATTGGTAACTGGTTATTGCTAAAAAAAATTTGTAAACAGGAAATTTCTTATTCTTCCTGTTGCTTAGTCTAGAAGATACTGGTCCTTAAGATACTGTGTGGAAATATGATGGTATGATTACAGTCTTATAATGAAAGTCCAGTTAGTAGATATTAAAAAATGTAAGTAGAAAAAAGTTCTATTAAGATTTAGCAGGTTAAAAACTCTAAGGTACACATTAAATACAAGTTCTAAGAAATAAAAGTTTATTTCTTTTGGGGAAGGTATGAGGCAAACTTCTTTTGTTCAAGTCAGTGCCTCATTACAGAAAGTTCACTCGACTAATTTTCACAAATGCTGTGCTGTGGTGTAGCAATTGGCATAATATCTTTGCTATCTCCCTTTATCTTGGGTTATCAATTATGATGAGAAGGTAACCATACCTAGGGCACGGAAGAAAAATTCACATTTTTAAGAAGGGCCAAGTTTCCCCCAACATAGTCAACTACGTTTAAAAAAAGTGCTTTCACACACTGCTTCCTGGGGGCTCTGGACTGTTGATCACCAGTTTGGTTTCACTTACAGCCTCCAGTAGATTAAAACAAAACAAAACAAAACAAAACAAAGCCTTCACACTGAAAGATTAAACTTGCTGGTTTCTTAGTTTTCTTTTCCATTAAGGAGTTAACAGAATATAAAATGTAAGGAAGTGTCAAATTGATGCAAAATAATACCTGTTTAATAGCCGATTTCACACCCCCACCTCTATTTAGAGATAGGGGTGGGGCCAGAAGAGTGGTCAATACTTTATGTCATAAAATCCTTATAATCTCAGGTGACAAGTCTGTGTTCTCCTGGAATCTGATTTTCATGCAGATTTTACATTGTTTACAGGCAGATTGTAAAGTGTGTATTAGATGGGGGATAAGGTGGTGGTGGCTTTACTGGACATAGTCTGGATCACCACTTCGGTTATTCTGGGTTGTAGGCGTCTTTGCAGTACAGTAGGTAGCACTGAGGGGAAGGGAGGTGTGCGAATGTGACTCGCTCCTTACATCTTGTAGAATATTTAGGTGATTCTCTGAAAGGGCAGTTTCTAAGAAAATAATGGGAAGTTCCATTTTTCATTCCCTTCTTAATGAAAAGAAGGTTAAATGTCTGTGACATTGGGGAAGTTGAAATCATTTAGCTTCCTTTTAGAAAGAGACACCGTATGTTCTGCTGACCTTTTCTATGGATTAGTGGCAAGGAACAGGAAAGCATGTTATGTTAACTTACCCTCGCAGCCTTGGGTCCTGGTTCTGTTTATTAAATTTATTTGGGCTGTGTTTCCTGGAGTCAGATGCACTTTAGGGACATGTGCCTGGCCCTGGCTCTGTAGCTTGTCTGTGTGGGTCTGTCTTTGTGGATCACCTACACCAAGGTCAGAATACATTATTTTGCTAGTAACTTGTCAACTAGAATCTGAAGTTTTGACTTGAATGGAAGTCTGAAAAGAGAATCCAAGTGTTAGCAGAAAAGGATAAAGGAGATTCCTCTTTCTCTTGCACGCGCACATACACACTCACACACCTGTTTGTCTATATTCCATAGATGGTCCTGGATTTAGGTTTTACATGCTAAGTTCTGACTACTTTTACATTCTTTGTTTCACCTTCTGCTTTCTTATAAGTCTGCTGCAACTAAAATCTCTGTTCAAGGAGATTATTGAAGCTGGAAATTGCATCATATGCATGATGGCATGCATCAATTATTCACCTGAAGGATAGAAATGTTTAGGAGTAAAGTTAAGGATTTAAATTCAGCAGTGACAGCTTCTGTTTAAGAATGAGTTGTCTTAAAACCAGCATTTGTCATCAAAACTAGTTACTAGAAAGTTTTAGTGCTTATGCCGTTAGGCATACACATATTGTGTGCCTAAATCTAGACTCGTTTGACAAAGCCAGTGCATTAATATATTGATATTTTAAATTAACTGAGTATTTCAATGTATTTTTTGCCTCGCTAATCAACTCTGTGTGAAGGCCTGAGTCAGTTGAAACATATTTTTGATTTTTGGTTTATAATTCACAGTTCAAAGCCCCCAAACCCAGTGTCTTAATGGAACAGTAGCCCAGAGAAGGTGTTATCCCTGAGCTTACTGTGATTGAACAGCTTATCTTTTCAACCTGCAATTCAGCGCATATGAAGTGTCTCATATGTCCTTGCAAAGCATTTTTATGCAGTTATGTTACTGATAAATTAATTGATAGGAACACGATAATATGAATTTTGTTTCCTAACTTATCTGACTGACTTATTTAAAGTATGGCTTACCAGGGGTGGGCAAACTTTTTGACTCGAGGGCCACTATGGGTTCTTAAACTGGACCGGAGGGCCGGAACAAAAGCATGGATGGAGTGTTTGTGTGAACTAATATAAATTCAAAGTAAACATCATTACATAAAAGGGTATGGTCTTTTTTTTTTTTTTTTTTTTTTTTTTAGTTTTTTCATTTCAAACGGGCTGGATCCGGCCCGCGGGCCGTAGTTTGCCCACGGCTGGCTTAGACTGTAACTTCCCTTTGAGTCATATTGTGTATTTTTTTTAAAAATACATGATAACTTTGCAAGCAAGCAGTATTACTTTCTTTTGTAAAAATTGTTAATATATTGGCTAACCTAATTATTTAAGCCTTTTTTTTTGTATCCCTAATACTTTTAACTAAATGCTCTATATTTGGTACAAATAAATCATTAGAACCTTTAATGACAAGACTGTATTCAAATGTACTAATATTGATTGACAAAGGCAACCAAATATCATAAACTCTGTTCATACTAAAATATGAAATTCACTGGTTTCAGTGTTTTTAGCTCTGGAATAACGTTCTCTAAATGATGCTGTAAGGCAGCAGACCACTCTGGGAGTTGTGAGATTCCAATAGCATGTACTGTGCATGGCTCTGGGTCTTTTTTGCAAGCTGTAGTTTCAAGAATGCTGAATGCATCGCATGCCATCAGCCTTTTGGATTGCTCATTAGTGAATTGTAATTTCACACTTCATTTAAAATATTCTTAAACATTCTCTCACAGTAAAAAGGTTTCACACAGTAATTAAAAGACCCAGTTAACAAAGTCTGAGAAGTCTGATTTCCTCATGGGGAATGATTTTGCTAAATTGTAGCATTTCAATTAATATAAAAGAATTTGCCAAATATAAATTTTGTGTTGCTGTGACCCAAAATATTACTGCTCGGTGAAAAGTGGAATAGTGTTTACTCTCAGGAATTACATAAACATTTTAAATTGTTTTTCCTTTGGTGCAGATTGAAGATGAGCTTTTTAATCCAGATTATGTGGAGGTTGACCGGATAATGGACTTTGCACGTAGCACAGATGACCGGGGAGAGGTAACAAAAGATCATTTGTATTAGGGGGCGGAGCTCAGACAGCTTATGTGTGTTTACAGACAGGGATCGTGGCCATCCTAGGTCTGGTCCTGGTCAGAGCCTTGGATCATGGCACACTTGGGTCTAAATTTAACTGAAATTTATTGACTTACTATTAGTTTTATGACTTAATAATAGTGCTAAATGTGTTCATATGTAGTCTGGAAGCTTTTTAAAAGAAATCAATTTTCAATATGAAACAAATCGACATTTTGCACAATTTCAGAATATAATCAATAAAAAGAATTCAACACATTTCAGTATAAATCTGTTATGTAGCACAAAATTTCCTTATGTAATTAAGAGTACAGTTGTAGCAGAATGGAGTTTAATATCATTTAACATTGGACATACTTAGTGAAGTTGATGAACTTCATTTAAAGTGGTGCACAGAGGATGTCAAATTAAGATCATATCAGTTACATGATATTTGACTTTTTTATTTTTTCTTATTTAGTTTTACTTGAAAAAATATGTTTCGTAATATATTTACATAGTACACCAAATGGTTTTAACATCATAACCAGGTCAATGTACCTTAGTCCTGAAATGAAGGTCAACAAACCCAAACATTTTCTAGAGGAAAAGACAAAGGAAATTCCATTAATCTATATTACCCAAAATATTTTGCTCTCCAATCTTTTAGAACTCAAAACACATTATTTTTGTAAAAGATTTTTAAAATTGATTTTTGGAGAGAGAGAGAAACATTGTGTGAGAGGGGAACATCGATTGGTTGCCTCCTGCATGCCCCCTACTGGGGATTGATCCTGAAACCTGGTCATGTGCCCTGCTAGGGAATCGAACTGGCAACCTTTCAGGGCACAGTAGGATGCCCAACCAACTGAGCCACACTGGCTAGGACTCAAACACATTATTCCAAAGTGATTTGGTACAAACAGTATTTCTCCCTTTAAGAAAAAGGCAGAAATCCTAATAAACTCAAGCCTTTTATTATTTTTTAAGAAACTAACCAATTATATAAATACTAGAGGCCCAGTGCACGAAATTCGTGCAAGGGGCTTGGCCCTCACAGCCGCCTCTGCCCTCGCAGCCCCAGCTTCATCCGGAAGGTCGTCCGGTCTAATTAGCATGCTACGCTTTTATTATTATAGATAGAGATACACTAAGATAATTTACTACATATGTTTGAATCAAATACCTGGTGAATGATTTGCACAGGCTCAAATTCAACTATTATTTACTAGATATTTATACTTTTTGGCTTTTGAACATTACTTATCAGTGACTTAAATAAAAATTAATTTGTTTTGATAATACTGCTCAATAATACTATTTCCAGTTTAGACTAGAGACTCTATAACTAGAGACTACTTTTAAAACTTCTACCCACTAAGTCTTACTGCTTCCTGGGTGGTGCCTGTTGACAAATGAGGTAGAGCACCCATTTCCTTTATACATAAAGTATTTTGGTCAAATGAATACGATTCTGATTCCTTTAAACGTGTCCCAGCCTGTGACTCACTACCTGGTGAAGTGGTGCTCCCTGCCTTATGAGGACAGCACTTGGGAGCTGAGGCAGGACATCGATCAAGCCAAGATCGAGGAGTTTGAAAAACTAATGTCCAGGGAGCCGGAAACAGTGCGCGTGGTAAGAGTTGGCTGAGGGTAGGGGATTTAATTTGAAAATAGCATCGTGTGGTCTTTGAGAAACCACTAATGGGATTTACTATATTTGAAACAGGAGCGACCTCCTGCTGATGATTGGAAGAAATCGGAGAGTTCCAGGGAGTATAAAAACAATAACAAACTCAGGGAATACCAGTTGGAGGGAGTAAACTGGCTACTTTTCAATTGGTACAACATGTATGTAAAACGTGTTTCCTTCACTTTTAAAAAGGCCTATTGTTTTTTCCTTTGTAGTTATTGAAAATAGTACTCAAATAAAACTTAATAACATTTAACTCTCTACTAAGATTATAATAAAACAGCAAACACTGGAAGTATGCTTATTATTTATTCAACAAATAATATAGAGGTTGATAGAAGTATGTAAAAGTAATTATTTATTGGAAATGTACTTTACTGAAGCTAAGGAAAACATCTAAGATAGGCATTTGTGAGTATAGTAATATATGTTTTGTGGAAGAAAAAAAAGGCAGTGACTAATATCTGTACTCATTAAACTTTCCTTCTTTTATTTCCTTCCCAAAGGCGAAACTGCATTTTAGCAGATGAAATGGGTTTGGGAAAAACTATCCAGTCCATTACATTTCTCTATGAGATATATTTGAAAGGAATCCATGGCCCTTTTTTAGTAATTGCCCCATTGTCCACAATCCCCAACTGGGAAAGGGAGTTCCGTACCTGGACAGAGTTGAACGTGGTTGTGTATCATGGGAGTCAAGCTAGTCGTCGGACCATTCAGTTGTATGAAATGTACTTCAAAGATCCCCAGGTAAAACATCACAGGTGGTTTTGCCTATGCTTAGTCTGTGCATTTTAAAACGTTGGGATTTAAAATGGATTCAGTGATTTGGGGGAAAGGTCTAGGTTTTGCAAAATTGAGAAGTTTGCTTTAGGTTTCTTACCTAACTTATGATTGTATTATATTCCTGCATGTCGTAATTACAGCTTTTCATTTTTATAGCTTAATCATTTTGATTATTAGATTAAAAATAAATGAAATTTTTTTACCTTGGATAATCAATGAAAATCACTTAATGTGTTGGTTTGCTAATTGACTTTCTTTTGCAATTAAAAATGTAAATAGAAATAATATTTTGTTACATTTTTGCTGGAAATGAAAAATACTAGGCACGTAATTTTGAGTGACACAATGAATGAAATACATCCAAAGGGAAGAGTTTATACTTTGGCTCTTAGCAATTACTGTGAATTTTCACTTTGCTAGTTACCTGTATGCAATTATTCTGTGATGTTAACATTAAAAATTATTTGGTGAAGAAGGGAGAATAGTAATCCCTAAATTAGTTTTAAGCTCTAGGTAGTAAATGGGAGTTCTATGACTGGAAATAGGACAGAGATTTTTGTTTCACCTGTTTGTTTGCTTTAAAATCTGCCCTATAACTAATTAAAGAAGGGAAATATTGAAACTTGGTTTTTATATTTATCTTTAAATTTGGGAAATTATTATAATTTCTGTCCTAAGTGAATGTTTTTTGTTATATTGCTTTAAAAATAAATAAGTTACAAAAGTAGAAGAAAGGTAAAACACTTTAAAAAGTAAAAAAGTTTTTTTTTAAAGTTAGCTTAGTACACAATGCCTTTGGCCTTTCACCTTTCGGAGTCTGTGGGATGTGACTAGAATGGGCGCTCTTGGTGGCACTTTACTGTGTGTGGCTCTGTAAGGAAATTGGATCAGAAATTTTACTAACAATTTTGTAACCTCCTTGAAAAAGGAAAGATTTTAAGGCCTTCTTATGCCACAACAGCTTAAACCTCCAAAATGTGTGTTATTTAAAATAAAGATGTCCCCAAAGGGATAAATCCATGTCTTACGTTCTGTATTCATCCTCAAAGTTGTTAATCTGTAATGCTAGATAATAATCAGAGTTGTTTTTGTAGGGTCGAGTGATAAAGGGGTCCTATAAGTTTCATGCCATCATCACGACCTTCGAGATGATTTTGACTGATTGTCCTGAGCTGCGGAATATTCCATGGCGCTGTGTAGTCATCGATGAAGCCCACCGGTTGAAGAACAGGAACTGCAAGCTGCTGGAGGGACTCAAGATGATGGACTTGGTCAGTGATCATTTGGTGATTCCATTGAACCCAAATACAACTGTCACTGGCTCAGCATTCCCGCCACTCTGGGTTTGACTGATGCCTGGGGAGGGTGTTTGCAGAGTCTGTCAAATATTGTGATACACCCTCCCGCGCTTATAGTTACACAAAAGTGGCTGCTGTCTTCCTGATTCTGACATTGTTGGCTGGTATTCCTGCACAGTGGTATCACAGCATACTATCGTCGTGATACTTTACCTAAAATGAGTTTCAAGTAATTGCTAAACAGTTCTTGGTGTTGGATGTATGGAAGTAGGACAGGGGAGCTGGTGAAAGAGCTTGTAAACAGGAGGAAATGTTTTAAAGAAATACCTGACTTGGTTGAGAGACAAAGTTAGAAATAGCATCTGTTAAAAAAAAGTGATTGTGGTCTTTAAAACCAAGCCGACCCCTTTGCTAGTTTGAAATTTTTGAAGAACAGAATAGGTTTTCATGTGCTGTCTCGTGTAGAAGAACTTCTTTTGTCTGCAACATGAGTCATGCAGGAAGCAGATGGGGAGACGCGAGCACTGTTGATGCAGAGAACAGAAAGTCATGGGAGCTTTATCTGAGCCTGGGGATTTTAGGGAAAACTTCAGCTCTGGTGCGGAAAAAGCAGACCCTTAGGGGACTTGCAAAGCCGGGGCACTACACTGTTGACCTAATGACCCCAGGAAGAGACGAAATGGCAAGACACAGTTACCACCAGGCCTGCAGTTCCAGGCAGGCTCCTCCGTGCGCATCTGAATCAGGGACCATTTTTTTTTTTTGTATCTCCGCCTTTGTGCCTAATTCCTTTACTTTACATAGGGTGGGTGCAGAATTAGCTGCAGAGAGAAGTGGGAACACGGGTACCTAGAGAGGCTCTGGTTGTGAGAAAAGGCTTTTGTTCTGTCGTGTCACGGACTCCCCTTGCGTTCCTGCAGGAACACAAAGTGCTGCTGACGGGGACCCCGCTGCAGAACACCGTGGAGGAGCTCTTCAGCCTGCTCCACTTCTTGGAACCGAGTCGCTTCCCTTCAGAAACCACCTTCATGCAGGAGTTCGGTGATCTGAAAACAGAAGAACAGGTATTTCTCCCGTCTACTTTGTATTTTACTCATGCAAGTGAAGATGAACTCATGAAATGGCAAAGGAGTAATATTAAACTAGTGTAAAAAGGTAAATTATCTTAGTTTTGTCCCACTGCCCTGTAGACAGGTGAGCTTTATATCTCCTTTCCTTGGAGAGCCCAGGTCTTCATGACAGAGGTTTTCTTGCCTCTCCATTTGCCCTCGTGAAGGGTTGTTGATGAGTAGAGGTGTTCATGTAATTTGCAGAGGCTGCTGTGCTGTTCAGGTTGGTGGTTTACTAGGTCTGCTTTTGGGAATGTTGTGTACTTTTGGGGATAGTATCAGAAGCCATGGAAATTTGTAGAGAGCTGCTTGCCTCCTGGAGTTTTAAGGTCTAGTCTTAAACTCTTCTGTTAAGTTCAAAGTGAAGTCCGTTTTTTTTGTTTTACTTTTTTCCTAAAAACTCTCTGGTGTGCTGTCCCCTAGTGCCAGTCACCAGAAAAGGGGGCTGGAGGGAGACACCTCTGATTGCAGGACTGGCCACCTCCTGGCTTATTCGCTGTTTCTGGAAAGCAAGAGAACTCAAGCAGAGGCCCCGCCTCCTCCCCGGACACAGTCTCTTCCCTCCCCCTCATCATCGCCACCGCTCAGGACAAACAGAATTGAAAGGAAATGAGTAGATTTGGTTCTTTTCTGCTGTGTCCCTGTCAAGCCTCCTGGTTGAGTGGTCCATTTGGCATCAGATCGTTCAACCTTCATGCACTTCTGTTATGAAAACTGGAAGTTTCCTGCCTTCGTAACCTTCCTGGGCTTTTTAAAAATGGAATTTATTGGGGTGACATTGGTTAATAATGTTATACAGGTTTCGGGGGTACAGTTCTACAACACATCATCTGTATACTGTACTGCCTGTTCACCACCCCAAGTCAAGTCTCCTTCCATCCCCTTATTGGGCTTTGACACATGAAAGTGAACGGTAAACCAGTAGGATGATAATCCTGCTTTTTCTCATTAGGATTTGTGTTAAGGTGCAAGCAAGTCATGACATCAGTATTTACTTAAGGTCCTTTTTTAGGTGCAAAAACTCCAGGCTATTCTAAAGCCGATGATGTTGAGACGTCTCAAGGAGGATGTAGAAAAGAACTTGGCCCCCAAAGAAGAAACTATCATTGAAGTTGAGCTAACAAACATTCAGAAGAAGTATTACCGAGCCATCCTTGAGAAGAATTTTACATTTCTTTCCAAAGGTGGTGGTCAAGCTAACGTACCTAACCTTTTAAACACTATGATGGAACTACGCAAGTGCTGCAATCATCCGTACCTTATTAACGGTAAGCCTGGCTGTCGGTAAACTTATTTCATATCATTCAAAGCGCCAGAGATCCTTTCCTCCCTCCAGACTGAGGACTTTACAGGTTGTAGTCATCACTGTATCCTGACGCCTCAGTGTGGCTTTCACCCCTCCCTGTCCTCTGTGCTGCCTCCTTCTGTGGTGTCTGAAGGCAAAGACCATAGCCCCTGCCGGTCCCTCCCTGAAGCAGGACCTCACCTCATCTTTCTCCTGCATCCCTGCATCTGTCTCACTCGTTGAAAGGAGGTGTTAGTGCTCCATGGCTTAAAAGTGTTCACAGTTAAGGAGAACTTAGCCCCTGGGATTTTCTTGCTGTGTGTGTGTGTGTGTGTGTGTGTGTGTGTGTGTTGTTTTAATCAGAGAAGTTAGAGAGGAACTTTGGTGTGAGAGGCAGAGATTTATTGTCTGAAAACTTTGATCAGAGAAAATTTCAGTCTAGAGACTTCTAGCTCCAATTCCCTAAGAATGAGAGATTATTTTATGGCTTTGATAATAGTTTGTCCCTGTTGCTAATGAATACTTTATGCTCCTCCTGTCTTCTCACCTAAATTGATAGTGTTATATAACCGGCATGAGTACAAACCTGTATCATATACTTCCAAACATCATGAAAGGAATAAACATTTCATGCCTTTGTCGTGGACGAGACTTGGGAGAATACAAGAGCCTTCATTTTGTCGGGGGTTGAGATTAGGAAGCTGTTGGAAAGGGGTGGTGTTGAGACAGCCTACGGGGCTGGGAAGGATGTAGGCCGTCAGGGTTAGAACCAGGAAGGGCCTTACGCTGATGTAATAACATGAGCAAAGAAAAGGAGTCAGGAAGACAAAGGGGAAAACTTGCCCGAAGTGTAAAGTCCATGCAAGCGACAGTGTGACGGCGAATGGAGACGTGCTGGGACCCTGATGTGGAAGCCTCGGTGCTGGGTGATGGGATTTATCTTTAGTCCGTAGGCATTGGAGGACCACAGCCAGCGTCTAAGCTGAGGGATGGTTAGAAATGCGATTCAGGATCATGAATCTGGCAACACCATATGAGACAGATGGGAGTCGGGAAAGATAGGCAGGTGCAGCAACCGGCTAGGGGGCTGGTGCTGTCGTCCAGGTGGAGTTAAGGTGGGGCGAGGAGAGCTGATAGCCCACTCACATGGGTGCTTGTGCTTGGTGACCATTGGCCAGCAATGCCGTTAGGTTCCTTTCCAGGGAGAAGGAACAAGCCTGCTTTGTCTCTATCACAATCCATGAGGTTCACGAGCAGCTCATTTGAAGAGTTCCTCATCTTTTCTTCTTCCATAACTTACACTGTCAGCTGCCTCGGCTCCGGAAGGTCCTGTTACTACATGACACATGGCCCACCTGGGAGGCGGTCTCCAGTGGCACCTGGGGCCATCGCTGTGGGGGACAGCAGCGCATTTCCTTTTCAGACTCTGCTTTTAGCTTTGTCTTTTAAAGAGAGTATCATGTGTGATAATTATATGTTTTATGCCACCAACCTGCTAATCACCATGTGTTTAAGAGCCTGGATGGCCATTTATGGTGAGTGCCAGACAGCCTGTTCCTGAGTTGGGGAGATGGAGTTGGGGCTTAGGGCAATTGATGGTATGAGTAAAGACACACACACCCTTTTGCATTTAATATCTGGTGACAAGAAAATGAGGGGAAGTTGCCTCCAAAGGGAAAGAAAAGGTGCTCACAAAAGGGATAAAATGCTGCCAACAGGGTGTGTGGGGAAGGATGATCTCAGTGAAGGTTGCCAGGTCTCCACTCCCAGTTCCACTGAGTTTACCTTGTTTGGTTACATGCTAATGCATGCATTGAGCATTGAGAGGCGGGGGTAGGGGGGGAGGGGGTGCTGGGGGGTGTTCTCTGTAGCTGATGCTCTCTGGGGTCACCCTGTATCTCTTATTGTTTGCCAGAGGCTCTTAGGACTTCTGAGGCTTGCATCTGTGGCAGTTGTTCCAACTGGTCACACCTTGAGCTCAGCATCTGTCCTTAATTTATGAAGTGTCTGTTAAGCAGGTATACTTAATGCCTTTATGTTGAGAAATTGTACCCCCAAAATACACACACACAGGCACACACATACACACATTAGGTGTCACAACTTCACAGGTGCCTTCTGTAGGTCTGTGTTTCACAGAGGCGGCTCCAGGCCAGTGCTGGCCACTCCATCCACAATCTGGAGTGGAGAAAAGACTGACACAGCGCCCCCGCTACACACGTTTGCTGTGCAGATAAAGGAGGTTAAATTGAAAGTTGTGTCGGTGGTGGCAGAGTAAAGCAGCCCTAATCAAACTAACGCTCAGTTCAATAACGCACAGTGTTTCTGAAGATGTGGGAAACAGAAACAGCTATCAGTTGAAAGGGGTAACATAAGTAAAGCAGAAAAAAAATTGGGAGTGATGGTAGCACACAAGTTAAATATAAAAGAAATGTTTGAATGTGCGTTAAGTGCTTACGTGGTTAGAACAATGTTCGGTGCACTGGAAACAGAGTGTTGCTAGTTGTTTTTTCTTGCTAAAAGTTGAGCAGGTAACTGATAACGTAAATGGTAATACTATTTTGGGTCCAAGCTTTATTAGAATGGAATGTTCAATTTTAGGTTCACTATGTGAGATAAAAATAATGTTGAAAACTTGGTCAAGGTCCCCTAATGGTTAGTGGTGACTTGAGATGGTTGTTGTTACTGTTGGGGGTAGGAGGAGTGTAGAGAATCGTGAGCAGGAAGAAAACAAGACTGAAGCTAAGATGCCAGAATGAATTTCAGAGAGAAAATAGTAACTTGTTTTTTTTAATCTTCAAAAGAAAATAATTTCTTGTTTGGTTTTGGCTAACATAGTAGATGACATTGCAATTACTTCCCTTACAGTGCCCGCCTACTAGAGTGGAAAGTCTTCCACACTCATTTCAAGAATGTCTTTGATACATATACACACACATTTTTAATTGTAGTATGATTGGTACCTTAATTTAAAACAGTGCCAACAAATTACATATTTTGGCTTCTCAGTTCATTTTCCGATTGATATTTACAACTAACTTCAAGGTAAATCTAACAGATAAACCTGAGAATTTGGCTGTGACATCAGAATGTAGAAGTTGCCTCCCTCACCTACACCTTCCTATGCCCCTTCCCTTTAGTCTAGCCGTAATAAATCCAGTGCCAATAGGGAATCACATAGGGAATATGTTTGCTGATGTTTTAAAATGAAGTATTATTAGTGTAAAGTAGCTGCCACTTAAGAACCAGAATTCATAACAAAGACCTGAATTGATTGGTTCAGTCAATAGTAGCTTTTATCAGGTAAGAAAAGAATATATTTTAAAATTTTTTGAATATATTTTAATTTTGATTATTCGTCATAAGATGAGAAATTACTGAAAAAGGAGAAAAGTTATTTTTTCATCTCTGCATAAATTTAAGATGAAAAATAATAAATTTCTCTACTAAATTGACTGAATTATTTGTTTTTTAAAATTTTTTACTAAAATAATCCAAACATGTCTGATATTTACTTTGTCAAAAATGATTACTTCATTTTTGAAATCTATTCATTGACCATTAACTTGTTTTAAACTAAAGCTATAAAAAATTTTGAGTATAGATTATAATCTTAATGTGGACAAAATAACTATCCAAATATCAAAAGAGTAAGACTTCTGTCTTCCTGAGTTGCAAAGAGCTTATAATATATTATCACAAGAACAAACTTGTAACAACACCTAATGTAGTATGTGGACTTACGTCTATTTCTGCTGTCTGCCGAGAATCTTCTTGTCCTGAATATAGAACCTACATTTCTAAAGTTTATGCTTTGAAAAAGTTACTGAACTTTATTCAAGAACCTGCCTGCTGCTACTGTTCTTAAATAGCATTTTGTTTTTTTACATTTTTTTCTAGTAAAACCTTTGCCCTTTTTTTTTTTCACTTGGAGGAAAATCCTGCCTATTAGCCTGTCACTGGTGTGGAGAGGGGAGTGAGCGGCTGGCATTTCCTGCCGGTCCCCCTAGTAAGCAGTAACAGTGTGCTTTCCAGGAGGCCTTGGTGCTTGGGAAAGGCATTGAGTGGCTGTAATTCTCAGTGAGATTCTTGGTTGATTAATTATTAACATGCGTTATTTGTGCCCACGACCATGTCATAACTTAATTTGTACAAGGCCCTTAAATGGAAAGAGGGGCCACATTTGCTGCGTCGGCCGCCCTGACGGAAGGACCAGCCGTCCGAGTGGCTTGGTGGCCTACCTCACCTAACCTTTCAAATCCCCCGAGGCAGTGTATCCCCTTCAGGTGCACAGTAGTTAGTCCACATGTTTACAACCAGGGGTAACAAGAGTAGTTTACAGTTTCTGACACGGTTTAAGGAGGGAACCAATCCCATTAGATGGGTTTGTTGGTTTGTATTTCCTAGAGAATAGGTGGCCGCATCCCGTCCTGAGGGGGAGGAGCTGAGCAGGCGGCCATGCCCTGATTAACCTCCCGGGAGGGGAGGAGGCCCGACGAAGCTGCCTAATTCTAGTTAAGCCACCTAAGCAGTAGGAGACTTAGCCTGCTGCTCCCAGGATGAGGGTGGGTTTGAGGTCCGGGAAGGAGGTGTGACCAAGATGTCATTCTCTTGAGGCTTCTCTCTCTGATGCCCTCCAAATTTTTGAACAAACAGAAATAAATCTACATGGGGCTGTGATGAAAAGAGGGTTAGGCATAGAAATCTTACATGAACCAGGTATATTTTATTTTTCAAAGTTTTTTGAGCTTTGAATAATTCAAGATTGAATTGTTGTCCCTTATGAAATTATCAGGTGAGAATGACTATGGAAGGAGATTATAGTAGAAAATGTGTGCTATCCCCTAAAAAAAAAAAAAAAAAAAAAAGAAGTCCCTAAAAAATATCCTGAACAATGAGTTCCCTTTTGTGGCAGTCCTTTGGGCTGTGTTATTGTACAATTATAAATACAAACTGCTGCCCGTACACTGTAACTGTTAGAATTCTATCTGCTTGTTTCTTGGTTTCAGAACAGATTTTGTTGTGTGTTTATATTCAGCCAGTAAACAGGTCTTTGTTTCTTAAGCCATTTAGGTTCCACATTTTCTGTAGGTACCTGGCCCTTGGCTTGTTTCTGCCACTTCTGGCCTGACAGTCTGTTGTTGAAATTCTGTTTCTACAATCAGCACACATTTGTTTGTTGTGGAAAATGTGGTTTTTCCCTCCCAATGCCTAAACGTGTTGTGCCGAAAACTTTGATCCCTTTTATGCTTTCCCGGTTTCGTGTAGACCGAACTTTGAGGGAGGGGTGGGTTCGTGTTCGTAAACATGAGCGCGGTGGTCCGGTTCCCACAGTTTGCCGTGGGCTTTGAAAGCTAGTTCATTGTTTTCAGTAATAAAAACCTTTTACAGTATTCATGTTATGCTGTCCAATCTCTGCAGGTGCTGAAGAGAAAATTTTGGAAGAGTTTAAAGAAACACACAATGCAGACTCTCCAGATTTTCAGCTCCAGGCGATGATCCAGGCTGCTGGCAAGCTAGTGCTGATTGACAAGCTGCTGCCAAAACTGAAGGCTGGTGGCCACAGGGTGCTTATCTTTTCCCAGATGGTGCGCTGCTTGGACATACTGGAAGACTACCTCATTCAAAGACGGTGAGGCCCTGGCTCCGTAAGAATAAAAAGGAAATTCAGAAGTGCCCTTGCACAGGGCTCGACGCGGTTCACCTTGGAGTGATACCTGTGCTGAAGGGGGCGGGGTCGGACATCACATCTCTTTTTTAAAGGCTGTGGATGTACGCGGCAGGCGCTCTGTGTAATGGCTGCCGTAGGTCTGCACGATTTTGTGGACAATTTTGTTTCCCGTTTCTTTCATTTGATCAGGGGAGACTGGTTCTGACCTAAAATTGAAATTGTTTGTTATTTTACTGTTGGAGGTGTCAGCTATTTTTAGAGGTTAGATGTTTCAGTGGAGAGGAAGTAAAATAAAAATGTCATCTCTGGGCATTCGAACCAGTTGTGTGAAAAACAACAAAACCCATTTGCTCTGAAATTGCTTCTCATACATAATGTCATCGTTAATCTGTATCCCAAATTGTATTACTGCCTTAGAAGTAAAAGAAAGGAGCAGGCGTATTGTAGCTGTCTGTCAGGCCTCCTTGCTCACACTGACCTCTTCCAGGTACCCGTACGAGAGGATCGACGGCCGAGTGAGAGGCAACCTGCGCCAGGCAGCTATTGACAGATTCTCCAAACCCGACTCGGATAGGTTTGTTTTCCTCCTGTGCACCCGGGCAGGCGGTTTAGGCATTAATCTTACTGCTGCTGATACCTGCATCATCTTTGATTCTGACTGGAATCCCCAAAATGACCTCCAGGTAAACATGCAAGAGAATCTTCCCGATGCCCTTTTTTTTTTTTTTTTTTTTTTAAGCCATTCTGCTGTGACGGAGAATCCCCGTCAAACCAATAAATTAAAGTCATGTAGTCACTCAGGCGGTATCCCATGATGGGGGCAAATGAACCAACTAGTCATCAATTTATTAATAATGTAAAAGCAGTTCCTTTGTGTGTTAACCCTCTTCGAAGCCGCACCTCTGTTCATTGGAACAGCAGATGCTCTCATAACTGACGACGGAGCCTTTCTTTCTTGGTAGCCATCAGTTCCCCTTTTCTTCCAGGCCCAGGCAAGGTGTCACAGGATAGGACAGAGCAAATCCGTGAAAATCTACAGGCTGATCACACGAAATTCTTATGAAAGGGAGATGTTCGACAAGGCGAGTCTGAAGCTCGGTCTGGATAAAGCTGTGCTGCAGTCCATGAGCGGAAGGGAAAACGCCACCAACGGGGTAAAGCCTCCCGCGCCCACCCGGCCCCTTCCCTTACCCCGGCTCCCGGCTGGATGTGGCTCATAGTGAGAAATGCTCCAGCATCAGCTTGTTTTCCAAGCTCAGTATTTCTTTTAAGCACTATTTCCACCTCACATGTCCTTGTTGGAAGTTAGGTTTATCCTCCTCTTTGAGAAAAAAAAAATTGTTTAGACTAAAAACATTTCAACTCTATATTATTTTAAATTATCTCTCTAACACAGGTGCAACAGCTTTCCAAGAAGGAAATAGAGGATCTTCTGCGAAAGGGGGCCTACGGTGCGCTCATGGATGAGGAGGACGAAGGGTCTAAATTCTGCGAAGAAGATATCGACCAGATTCTCCTGCGGCGAACCCACACCATCACCATCGAGTCTGAAGGGAAGGGCTCCACCTTTGCTAAGGTGCGAATCGATTGGAAGAGGCAGGCTTTCTACAGACGTTTAATAGAGTCCGCACGCAGCACTCTGTGAAGTGCTCCGGAGTTGCACACGGAACGTTTGCCTTCTTATCCCAAGTCAAGAAATTAATTAACTCCCTGTGGAGCTCCTCATGCATAAAAACTCCTTTGTTTGTGTTTTGGGTCCTGTTCTATCATATGGCACCGGTGGTCACTCTCACCTTGGCCTCAAAGCTGCTTCCCGGCTCCCAGGCTAGACCTTTACCTGTGGCCTTGACCCCAGCCTCTCCACTTCTTGAGATCTGATTGCTGACGTAGCCTCTGCAACAACCCGGTCACTCCCATCTGCCTTCCCCTCCAGCTTCAGTGCCATAACTCTGCTTTCAGAGCTGGAATCCACACAAGCGTCATTCGTACCAGTTGTCTCGCTGCGCCCCTTTCTACTTCTTTTTCAACCTCCAGCTGCACCCTCCCCCCGCCTCCTCATCAGACCAGCTCCGGCAAAGGTCACCACTCAGAGCCACTCCAGCAAGCGCCCCTCTGAGGCTTCCCCTGCATATTGACCTACCTGCCCTTCCACACCCAGGCCCCACACACACTTATTTTCAATAGCTTTATTGAAGTGCAACTTGCTGACCATAAAATTCACCTTGGCCTTATTTACAGACTCGTGTAACTATCACCATCACCCCAGGAAGATCCTGATGCCCATTAACAGTCTTGTCAAGCGTGCATGCGCGCGTGTGTGTGTGTGTGTGTGTCCCGCCAAATCCTTGGCCACCACTAATCTACTTTCTGTCTCTATAGATTTGCCTGCTCTGGACATTTCAGATACATGGAATCATGCAACCTGTATTTTGTGTCTGGCTTTGCTCACTCAGCACAGTGTTTTGAGGGTCATCTGTGCTATAGCCCAGATCAGTACTTGCTTCTCATTGCTGAGCCGTGTTCCATTGTATGTCTGTGCCTCATTTACCAGTGGATGATGGACATTGGGGTTGTTTATTTATTCACTAGTTGATAGTGAAATTTTTGGTCGTTATGAATAATGTTGTTATGAACATTTGCATACAAGTTTCTGTGTGGACGTATGTTTTTGTTTCTCTTTCGTGTATACCAGGAATGGACTTGCTGGGTCATGCGTTAGCTCCATGTTTAACCCTTGAAGAACCTACCAGACAGTTTTCCTAAGTGAACGTACTGGTACCTTTGCTTTCCGACTGGCAGCGTTTTTAGGATTCTAGTTTCTCCACAGCCTCAGCAACACTTTGTATTGTCTGGCGCTTTGATTACAGTCGTGTGCGTGAGTGGGATGTGAGAGCCTAATGGGTTAGAACCGCATTTCTCTGATGCCTGGAGCATCCTTTGCTTGTGGCCCTTGTGTATCATCTTTGAAAAAATGTTCTAATTCTTTGTTCACCTTTTGAGTTATTTGTCTTTTTATTCTTGAAGCTTAAGAATTCTTTATATATTCTGGATAAAAGTTCCTCATCAGATAATACAATTTGCAAATATTTTCTTTTGGTCTTTTCTTAATGGTGTTTAATTTTAATGAAGCCCAATTAACCCCCCCTTTTTTTCTTTTATTGTATTGTTTGTGCTTTTGCTGCATTGTCTAAACTGAAGTTAACAAAGGTTTGTTGTCTTCTCAGAGTTTTATAGTTTTCACACTTACATCCAGATCCGTAACCATTTGAGTGAGTGTTCGTGTGTGGTGATGTTGTAAGACCGGTTCCACCTCCTTTCTTGTGCATGTGGCCATCCAGTCATCCGGCTCCTCCTTCTCTGGGCTCTGTGGTCCAGCACCTCCTCCCTCATGTCTCTGCCTACACATAGACACCTGTTCGTTCACCTGATAACACCATTCAGATGCCAAAGTTGGATGCTGCCGTTTTTCCTGGCTTCCTCCTTCTCCTTCATGCTTCACATTTAGCTAGGATCTCACTCCTTCCAATTTACCTTTTAAAGAATCTTTGTCTGTTTCTGTTAGAACTGTCTTCAGTCTTCATTATTTCCTCCCTAAACTACAGTAGCCTGTTCTACCCCATTCTACCCTCCACACCCCGACAGCGGTGCCTTTGCCTGTGGTGCTGTCCGTGGTGATGTCCCCAAGCAGAGCTGCTGTTTCCTCAGGATAGAGTTGGGACTCTGCTTACAGGACACGCAAGGCCCGCCTTACTAGCCTGCTGTTTGGCTTACTCTTCTTTTTAAAAAAATATATGTTGTTACTCATGTCAGAGAGGAAGGGTGAGGGAGAGAGATAGCAACATCCATGATGAGAGAGTATCATTGATCGGCTCTGCCTCCTACACACCCCCTACTGGGGGATAGAACCTGCAATCTGGTCATACGCCCTGACCGGGAATCGGATTGCAACCTCCTGGTTCATAGGTCGATGCTCAACCACTGAGCCACACCCGTAGGGCTGGCTTACTCTTGTTGATTCCCCTCACCCCCGGCCACAGGACACAGCACCTCTCTTCTCCTCTGTGCTTTGAGCTTTCAACAGTCTGTTCCAGGCATTATTTTCTAGAGAGCCTCTTCTCCCTTCCCAGCAATGCCCTCCCTGTCCCTTCCCCCCACCTGAACCTGGTTAGGGCCTTTCAGTGTGCATCCGTCACATCTGTACATACCTTTGTTACCTATGGTTTAATGTGCTGCACGGTCACCTTTTCTTTCCTGATCTGCCTCACCCCTGGCCTGTGAGCTACCCGAGGGGTGGTCTTTGTCCCGGGGCCATCGATGGTGGCATCTGGCACACAGTGGAGGAAGGCAGACATGTTTGAGTGAATGGATAGACGGGAGCTACTCTGCATCTTACCTCTGAGGAAAGCGTCTCAAAGTAACACATATTTTCCCCCCTTTTAGGCCAGTTTTGTTGCATCTGGAAATAGGACAGATATCTCCCTGGATGACCCAAATTTCTGGCAAAAGTGGGCTAAGAAAGCCGAGTTGGATATCGATGCCTTAAATGGGAGGGTGAGTGAGAAGTTCCATTCACTCCCTATCTGATCTAACCCCAGGCCGCTCTGATAGAAGTTTCAAGTGTGTCTGCCGTCTGTTTTAGAACAACCTGGTCATCGACACCCCGAGGGTGAGGAAGCAGACCAGGCTGTACAGTGCGGTGAAGGAGGACGAGCTGATGGAGTTCTCAGACCTGGAGAGCGACTCCGAGGAGAAGCCCTGTGCGAAGCCCCGGCGGCCGCAGGACCGGTCCCAGGGCTATGCCAGGAGCGAGTGCTTCCGGGTGGAGAAGAACCTGCTCGTCTACGGGTAGGTCGGGCCTGTGGGAAACGGACTTTTACTTTAAAAATAGTTAGAATTCCAGTGGGCCTAGGAAAGCCGTATCTGCGTTTGGATTTCTGTGGCTCCCGTAGTCAGGTGAACTCTGCAGCGACTGCGAGGGCCCGGGGCATGTGGTTAACGTGCTCAACGTTGCTCAGGTCCTCGAGGGTTTGAAGGAGCACGAGTTTGTCCCTAAGGAATTAGGTCAGATCCCAGTTTACTTTTGATTATTAATAACTCAGAACAAAGTCTCAAAATTACGGCGTCTTTTCTCCTTTAGCTTCACATGAAATTTACTACCACAGTAATCTTTTTAACACTTTTCTGTTATAAAAATTTGTTAAAGGCAATGATCTCACTTACGAAGCTCTCCAACAGATGGTCGTTTCAGGTCTCTGAAGGTGTCAGCTCTGCGTCCCTGTGGCACATCTCCTCCCTGCCCCGTGCTTTGCAGGGCGAGGTGCTTAGTAAATAGTAAGAGGTCTCTAGCCTATTGTGAGATTGGAGGCAAATTCCACTCAAGTACAAAACCGCCACCAAAATGGCATTTCTATACATCTGACAATATCCTGTCTTTGATTGTTTTTTTCCAGTGAGTCATCATTAGTTACAGAATAAATACAAACATTCTGTTTCACGTAGCATACAGGGCTCTGGCCTGGCCCTTCCCATGGGCAGTCCAAATTCCTGTGAGGACAAACCTCTTTGTCTCCTTCAATGGGCCGCGCTCTGTCTCATCTCTCTTCCTGTTGCCTAGAGCCAGCCCCTTCCACCATCTCCCCCCCGCACACACACGCAGGCTTGAGCTGCCCAACCCCTCCTGTCCTTGGCATCCAGGGTAGGCGTCCCCTTGGCACCCTGCACCAGAAAGTCTGGTCTGTATTTTCCACCACATTCAGGAGCATGTTGGTTTATGACGACGTAGTGGCGGCTTCTCTTGTTAGACACCCAGCTAGCATCTCAGGGCTCTCGGGGCAGAGTGCAGTGCGGCAGACACAGTGAGTGCAGAGTCAGTGGTTGTGGAATAAATGAAGTTCAACGAAAGCTCATCCTGTGTGTGGTCGCTGGGTCCCTTCTCCTATTGCCTGTGTAAGCTGTGTACCCTTTCCTGTCAGTCCTCACACAGCCGAGAGACCCTCCACCCAAGCCCTTTGCACCTACTTCCATGTTTCAGCTGAATGATCTAAGTTGAGAATTTTGCCGGTAGCTTTAGAAATGGAGCATATTAATAACTTTTGAAGCTAAGAAGTATCCTTAGGGCATACTGTATTTTAGTGAAGCCCTTCCCTCCTCCCATAGGCATCGCTAGGTATTGAACACCTACTATGTGCTGGGCACTGTGCTAGGATATTCTCAGACACCAGGGACACAGCTGTGAGCAGGACAGTCACAGCCCCACCTCAAGCAGGCAGGTGAACAGCAGAAAGCAGTAAATGGCTTGGCTGGGAGCTCTGTGCAAATGGAGGATAAAAGCATGTCTCCTCTTCTTTAAGACACAGCTCAGGTCTTCTCTCTCTGCCTCTGGGGTTCAGGCACTAGAAGGAGGAATTCCACAGAAGGTGATGTGTATAGTCTGTGACTAGATGGATATCTTGAATGAGCCAGGGTACGAGGGAGTGTTGGACCTTGAGTGGGGGGAGAAGAGGGTTTCTGGCAGGGAGGGCAGTGTATCCAAAGGCCTAGAGGTGAGGGCCAGCCTTGCAATTTGGGGGCTGAGAGAGGTTCATAGAAGCCAGAGGGGAACAAGCCAGGGCGAGAGCCAGGGCGTTCTGGGCGTGCACTGTGCTTCTCAGCTGAGACTCCACCAGCGGGAAGGAGGCAGCCTAGGGGCTCGGTCAGCGGTACTCTGGGAGAGGCACAGCTCAGACCGCATCTGCTTGTCTTTTGTACGTTCTCACTCCACAGCACATGGGAGAAAGAGCACAGCCACTGGGTTAAACCCAAGACTAATCCTAAATAGACAGTTCAGCCCCTGCAATGTGCTGTCTGCCTGGTTCTAGCCACAGTCCCTTCTCCACCCGTTTCACCTGAGGACCTGAGCGTTGGCGGGACATTTCTCCTGTGCGTGCTTTTGGACTTGGAGTTGTGTTCTGTTTCAGAATGAAACCAGAGCCTGTCCACAGCCTCTCATTCATTATGGTGGCACCCCTTAGGGTTGATGAAACCACACTTCTCAGCCCTGACTGGGGGCTGTCACACCCACCTTGAGTCCCTGTTCATTTCAAATGGTTGGTCAGCATCAAAGCATGCAAACCATGACTGTGCAGCATCGCTGTGAGAATGTAAAGCGTCCAGGCCCTGCTTGCTGTCTCGTCTTCAGAGTGGCTGCCCGTCTGAGTCTGAGGGAAAGCCTGTGTCAGCCCGTCCTGCACTGAGGAGCCGTGGACCACAGCCCGCGCTAGGATGGGAGGCTTTCCTTTCACATAAATATTGCCAGGTTTTTGTTGTTATTGTTTAGCAAGAGAAAAGAACCACATTTAATATCTTCATGTGCCTGGGAACCCCATAGACATGAGAGTTTTAACCCAAGATGCCCTAACCCCGCTGCCTGACTGTGAAAGTAAGCCCTGACCGACACTGAGGGCACCTGTGCATGCTGCATGCTTGCTTTGCAGCTGGGGGCGGTGGACGGACATCCTTTCCCACGGACGCTACAAACGCCAGCTCACTGAGCAGGATGTGGAGACCATCTGCAGGGCCATCCTCGTGTACTGCCTCACCCATTACAAGGGGGACGAGAACATCAAGAGCTTCATCTGGGACCTGATCACGCCCACGGCCGACGGCCAGACGCGCGCCCTGGTCAACCACTCCGGTAGGTTGTCTTCGTGCTGCAGGGCCACAGAGGCTGCCAGGGGCCTGGCAGCACAGCCTAGACCCCGTGTATCCCTGCCCTGGATGCCAGATTGTAGAAAGCTTCTGTTATTATTACAATAACTAGAGGCCCAGTGCATGAATTTGTGCAGGGGTGGGGTCCGGCCAGCCCAGCCTCAATCAGGGTGGATCGGGGCTGGGCCTGTCTGGAGGAGGAGACAGCGGGAGGTTGGCTGACCAGTCTGCCCTGATTGGGCCCTGCCCCTGATTGGGGTTGGGGGGCGATTGGGGTTCAGCGGCCAGGGGAGGGACTGTGGGAGGTTGGCTGGCTAGTCCCACCCTTGAGTGGTGTGGTGGGGGCCATTGGGAGTGGGGCCGGCCGGGGGGCGGGGCTGCAGGAGGTTGGCTACCTGGCCCCGGCTCCTATTAGGGTAGAGGGGGCTCTACGGGGCAGGGCTGGCTGGAGGGAGGGTCTATGGGCCAATTGTGGGGGGTTGGCTGGCCACCCTGCCCCCTGATTGGGGTGGGAGAGGCCAATGGGGGGGGGTGCTGGCTGGAGGAGGGGCCATGAGAGGTTGGCCGGCCAGCCCCACCCCCCATCGGGCCGGTTTGCTGGCCGCAGTGGGCATCATAGCAACCGGTTGTTCCGGTTATTATGGTGTTCCAGTCACTGGCTTTTTATATCTAGATAAAACTCATCATTATTGTTACCATTATGATTCTAGGTTTATCAGCCCCAGTGCCGAGGGGAAGAAAGGGGAAGAAGGTGAAAGCCCAGAGCTCACACCCAGTGGTGCAGGACGCCGACTGGCTGGCCGGCTGCAACCCCGATGCGCTGTTCCAGGAGGACAGCTACCGGAAGCACCTGAAGCACCACTGCAACAAGTGGGTGGTCCGGGGGCGGAGGGCTTGGGGGTGCCTGTGTGTGTGGGTGTACGTACATGCGTGTGGATGTGTGTGTGTACATATGTATAGATTTGTGTGTGTGTGTGTGTGTGTGTGTGTTACTGTTAAGCTGTAGTAACTATCTTTGCACAGCCTTACTAGTTTTCTTCAAACATGATGCCAGGTCATATGATGACATACCTTTAAATGACTGATTTTTTAAATTTACTTATTGTTTTGTTAATCCTTACCTGAGAATATTTTTCCATTGAGTTTTAGAGTAGAAGGCGAGCGGGGGGCGAGTGGGGGGGAGAGCAAGAGAGAGAAAGAGAAAGAAAGAAACATCAATGTGAGAGAGACACATCGATTGGTTGCCTCCTGCATGCGCTCTGACCAGGACAGGGGAATGCATCTGCAACCAAGGTACATGCCCTTGACTGGAATCAAATTTGGGACCCTTCAGTCCAAGGGCCAGTGCTCTATACACTGAGTCAGACCGGCCAGGGCTGATTTTAAAAATTGTGATAAAGATACATAACACAATTTAAAAATTTTATCATTTGTAAGTTTATAATTCATTGGTATTAATTACATTAAAAATGCTGTGTATGCCTCACCACTGTCTATCCCCAAAACATTTTCATTGACCCCAATATAACTCTGTATCATTAAACCAAAGTTCGCCTGCCACTCTTCCTCATTCCCAAGCCCCTGGCAACCACCATTCTCCATTATGAATTTGCCTATTCTAAGTACTTCATAAGTGGAAATTTACAGTATATGTCTTTCTGTGTCTGGATTATTTCACTTAGCATGATATTTTCAAAGTTGGTCCATGTTGTAGCTTGTGCCAGACTTTTAGTCCTTTTTATGGCTGAATAATATTCCATTGTATAGATAAGACCACCTTGTGTTTATCCATTCACCTACCATTGGGCACTTAGGTTGACAGACACCTTTTGGCTGTTGTGAATAGGGCTGCTGTGACATTGTGGATAACTAAGTTTTGTTTTTATGTTATTTTTCAATTACAGCTTACATTCAGTATCTATAATAATTAAAGCGTAATATGCTAATTAGACCAGACATCCTTCCGGACAACCTTCCGGACGAAGCCGGGGCTGGGAGGGAAGCTCGGGTCCCGGGTGCCAGAGGGAAGCCAGTGCTGGCTGCTGGGGGAAGGAAGGCCTACTCTTGCATGAATTTCATGCATTGGGCCTCTAGTTATGTTATATTAGTCTCAGGTGCACCTGTGGATAACTAAATGTTAACCAGTGTGTGTCGAGGAATATGGTTAGCTTTATACGATCCCATCTTCAGCTGACTGCCTGCAGGGGAGGCACTGGGGAATGGTCATGTTATTTTTTGCTTAATCGCGCCCTCAGTTGTTTGGTCTTGTTTTGCTTACCTTATGAGCTGAGAACCGCATTCCTTACCTTTATTTCTAGAACTTGATCCTGTATAATTGAACACTATTGAATCTAAGTTTATTTCACTGCTTGGAGCTCTGCTAACCTTCTACTTCTTAAACTGACATCTCCACATGTTGCTTCTTCCCTTGCTCTGAGCGCACTATTCAGTGTCATCAGTGCAGCTGCACTGTACTGAGCCCACCCACTGCCCCTTCCTGGCCGTGCTGCCTGGTGCACACCCCCAGCCTCTCCACGACTCCCTCTCCCTGTGCGTCAGCTGGAGCTCAGCAGCAAGGTCTCAGCTGGAGGAGGCAGGATATAAAGAAATGTATGTGCGTCTCTCTTTAAAATTAGCCACCACAGTCTGAGCACATGGTGCTGCAGTGTGCCTAGCCCTGCATACGGATGGTGTTTGTTGTCTGCCGTGAGAAGTGCTGTTTTATCCTATTTCCCTAACAAGGAAACTGAGACTCGGGTACTTATGGTCCCTCCGCTAGTGAAGGGGCAGGGCCAGGTTGGAGGCCCAGACAGACGGAGGAGGCTGGTGCCCTTGTCCTTGACCACCCCCCACCTCAGACGCCTGCCTCCTTCTCGGGGCTGTCTCAGTCCTCACACGAATAACCCTGGAGAACACCTGTTGCCCCCAGGTTGCCCTGAAGGATGCTTCTCGCCCCTTTTTAAACGCAAATGTCTTCAGGGCCTCCCTTTGATCACTGTCTTTAGAATTTTGAGTCTTCCAAACCATTCCCTCCAGCCATCTTGGTGCCTCAGAAACTGTTTTGTCATTACTACTGTAGCATGATAGTCCTGCCCCGCGTATACCTGCTGGAAAACTTCCGTTTTCTTGTGGTTTATGTGAACTTGGAGTGATTAGCCTCGTGAGTTCTGCATCAACCCTGGTCAGGTGTGGGAACAGTGGCTCTGGCCTCAGGTCCAGTGTGGTGGTGTCTTTGTTTTTTGTTTTAAATGTATTTTGATTGATTTCAGAGAGGAAGGAGGAGGGAGAGAGAGATAGAAACATCAGTGATAAGAAAGAAACATTGATTGGCTGCCCACAACCTGGGCATGTGCCATGACCGGGAATTGAACCATGACCTCCTGGTTCATAGGTCGATGCTGAACCACTGAGATATGCCGGCCGGGCTTAGTTTCCCCTTCTGATGTCAGTAACAGACTTCCATCGGGTGCCCTCCCTGACCGTGTGTGAGATGTCCTGTCAGACAGGTGTGAACTCCTTCAGGTCAGAGGCCACCTCCCGTTCACCTTGTAAACCTCCCGGCAACTGCCACGTCCTCCTCACTGGGCACTGAGCTGGCCAGATGCACTGGTTTGCATTGTTTCCTCTAGAAAAAAGATGACATAAAAGCCTCCACGTAACAAATTCCTCCCAATGTAGAAAACTTTGTCTTTTACCAAAAGAAAGAGAAACCGTTAGGGTCGCTGCCACTGTACCGAGTTTTGGTGAATAAAAGCGAATCCAGCCCATGGTGGGGGTGTTCCCTGGTGAGCATCCTCTTAGGTTCTCAGAAGAACTGGCCTGCAAGTCCCCTTACCGGAGAAGAGGCCTGCTCTGCCTGTTCTTCTGCTGGGTCAGTTGGGCAAGCCAGTGTTAAATCTTATCAAAAGAGAGAAATAAAAAAATGTTACCCAGAGTGAGTGTTTACCTTGGAGTGTATTCAGATGTTTACAACCCCACCCTTTGCCCATTGGAGCCCAGGTTGGCCGGGAGCAGACTCCTGGTGGAGGGAGGTGCGCCTGTTCCACGTATGACCAGGAGTGGTCTGTTTTGGTGAAGCTGCCCCAAGTTGTCATTTGGTATTTTCAAGGACAGTTACCATGTCCTGAGAGACAGTGTGAAGTGGTGGAGCAGAGGGCCTGCTCTGAGTGGTCCGTGGTCAAGGTGACTCTGCCCTTGGCTATGTTGCTTGTCTTCTCTTAGTCTCCGTTTTCACGTTTGTAACATGGAAATTGTAGACATTGTAACTCGCCCCCCTCCATCCTGGTGTCCTGGTGAAGAGGAAATAAGCGAGTACATGGGAAATGTGTGTATGTTGGGATTGCCCAGCTGGGCAAATAGCACTTGGTATTGTCATCTACTCACGGCCAAGGAGGCAGTCTCGGATATCAGTCCTGCCGGCCCACGAGGGCTGCCCGACAGGAGATGCCAGACTCGGAGCAGACTTAGGCCCTGGGGAGTTACCAGGTGGGCTTTATTGAAAGAAGTATGTTCAAAGCCATTGAGGAAATCCAAGTGAGATTGAAAAATCTGGCTCCTAGAATTCCAAGGGCTTTTAAACGCTAATTCCTTGAGAATGACTGAGAGCTCCAATGAATTAGACATATTTTAATCGCCTTTGTAATGTTTTATTATTTTTTAAGTGACAACTTAGGCTTCCAGGTAATATAAACCAGGAGGAATAAAAAATGGTTAATATTCCTTAAGGGAGAAGCTGAAGACCCATGCCCAATCGCCATCTTCCTTTTCGGAAGCAAAGTTCTATAATCTGCAAAACCTGACATTCCATATTGAGGGTTTATTGTAAGGTAGTAAAACCAGATTTTATATCGTGTGTATTCCTACAACTTCTGATGTGCTTCCAAAAATGGCATTAAGGCAGCAGCTGAGGAAATTTTATGAGATAATGAAGCAGAACAGTTACTGAAAGCCATCTGCTCAGTTGTTTACAAACTTGCTTCAATACTTCAGAGGCAGTGGTAGGGTACGTGTCTAAACTTCACAAGCTGCACTAGGTAGGACGAAGTGAAGTGCGCCTGGGCTGGGCTGAGCTCGGTCCCTCTCTGTGCAGTGTGAACGGTTGCCAGGCAGGCCTGTTGGAAGCCAGCAGAAAGCACCACACAGAGGTGATTATGTGCCACCATCTGTCACGCTTCAAGCCTACCATACAGCATGGCTAATCAGCCTTGGCAGGATGATGGATGAACAGCAGCAGCTGCCAAAAGCCACTGTTGGCAAACAGTCCTGAAGTTAAGAACTTTTTCCCCCCTCTGTCTTCCTCTCCAGGGTCCTGCTGCGTGTCCGCATGCTGTACTACCTACGACAAGAAGTGATAGGAGACCAGGCAGATAAGATCTTAGAGGGTGCTGACTCAAGGTTCGTGCTCGTACGCATGGGTTCTCTGCCCCCCTGCCATCATCCGGGTAGTCAGAACACATCATGGATCGTGTTTCAAAACCTTCATAAGCCACGAGAAGCACACGTCCTGTTTTGCATCTCGAATGTATTGTTTGTCCTATGAGCTTGGGGACGTGGCGAAAATCGGGGAAAGCCTGTGTGTGTGTGTGTGTGTGTGTGTGTGTGTGTGTGTGTGTGTGTAAAGGGGTGTGAACTAAATTACAGGAGTTCTGACACGACCTTTAAAATGGGACGCTGGTGCTAGCGTTCATTTCTGCTCAAGGTGGAAAGCGACTGACTTATGCCCTTTGCTTTAACCTTTGCTCACTCCTCTCCATGACACCCAGGTGCTCATTGTGGGAGGGGGCACATGAGCGCGGGCACATGGTCAATTTACTTAGAGATTTTTAAAATATTGGTGTTTGTTTTAAATATCACACAAATGGTTGTCTTTACAGTGACGCTGATGTGTGGATACCTGAGCCTTTCCACGCCGAGGTCCCCACAGATTGGTGGGATAAGGAGGCGGATAAGTCACTCCTAATTGGGGTGTTCAAACACGGTGAGTGACGTGTCCGCTTGACCACATCTTGACCGCGTGGCCTTTTCTCTATTTAGAGCTCGTTGCATCCTCTCTTCCAGAGTCATAATATTAACAAGGATAGTTCCAAAGGACTCTTGGCATCGACCACTTTCCTGCACTAAAAATCTAATATGAACTGTAAATATCAGATGCTGTTTTTGAATGTTTGTTGAGTGTTTGAGAAGAAAACATTTCTTTCTTGGCTGTAAATAAAACCCAAACCATATTTGTTTTAAGAATAGCCCAACTGTCCTGGAGCCCTCCCGAAACTTTGCTCCCAGCACGGCTCCCGCGCCGACTCTGCCAGCCCGTGTCAGAGTGGACGCGGGCTTAACCTCTGCTATTAATCTGTACAAGTGCCTCCTGGGCTTTGTTCCAAGCAATATTTCACAAATGTCAGTGCTGAGAACTCCCGGCTCCCCCGAGTGGGATGCAGCCTTGTTAACTTTGAAAGGCTGGGGATGCAGAACTGGCATGATATATACAGTGAGCGATTCCTGATTATAATCCCAGCTCTCTGGAGGTCGCCGAGGTAGTCTCGGCAGCCCGGCCTGACTAAAGGGGAGAATGATGGCTTATAAAACCTTCCGTGATTGTAGTTTGGCTTGCGGCTCTGCAGCAGTTAGGGGCGGCGGGTTGTAGTACACAACCTAATTGAATTGTGCTGTTCTGCCTATGCGCGCGGCCCTGTTCTGTGAGCTCAGCCTAAAAACCATTTCCCCGCACGGCACTGTTGGGATCTGCCATTTCCCATCTAGTCAGCGTGGGCAGTCGAAGAGCAAATTGCAGTTTGAAAGCCATAGAGGGAACAGTGTCATCTTACTGACATGCATCATCCCAAACCCAAGAAGACAGGTTCGCTGGCCTGACGTAGCGGGTTTTCAGCTGGCGGTGGAAGGTCCCGCAAAACCGAGGCTGCTCACGAGGAGGATGGGGTGGACTTGGCCTACCTCTGTGGAGGTCATAGAGGAAACGTTACGAAGTCTTTTAAATGTTAAGCAAAATTAGGTCTTGGGGAAGACAGGGCCAGAAATCTTCCCAGGCATTTTGCAGTTATGGTGGAACCTGTTTTCCTTAGTATGGGTGGTCATTCTGATAACGTCCCTGGAATGGAACTTGGCCCCCCCAATCTGCCCTGGAATTGAGGGGTCCAGCTGCTAGATCAGGGTTCTTTTAAGCACAAGGAATGAAGCCGCGCGTTGTGGTGGCGCTGGGATTCTGATTGTGACGGGCCTTTCATTGTCTCTGTGTGTGTCCTCCGGGCTGGTGGGGATGGCACAGGCTACGAGAAGTACAACTCCATGCGCGCAGACCCCGCACTGTGCTTCCTGGAACGAGTGGGTATGCCCGATGCCAAGGCCATCGCTGCCGAGCAGAGAGGAACAGACATGCTAGCAGATGGCGGTGACGGGTAAGAAGGACATTTTAAAATTTTAATAAACTTTACATTCGTGTTGCATCTATTGGCAGCGTTCGGTTCTTCCACTGCCACTGCACAGTGGACTATGTTGCGTCTGATTTGAACTAAGTGATGTTTACCAGTATAGTCTGGGTACATGTCATCATGATTATTTAAACATGATACAGTATCTAGATAATCTGAAACTTGTTTGTCTTTTTCAAATGACAACAGACACCCCCACTCTTCCCTCCAGCCATCCCACACCCCCTCCCTCCACGGCTGCCTGTTTTAAATACTGATAGAATGGCTTTTGATATTGAATCCAGAAGTAAAAGTTGCATTCGGCAGTCTCTTCCTATCAGTGTGATTTAAGCATTTTTAAAAATTTTTACATAGGGGAGAATTTGATAGAGAAGATGAAGACCCGGAATATAAACCAACCCGAACGCCGTTCAAGGATGAAATAGATGTAAGAATTTGAGTCTATTGACTTTATAGCACCAGTAAAATATTATGTGCCCATATAAGGCTTGTTAATTTTCTTTAGAAAATAAAGCAAAATGAAACCCAGATTAAAATAATTTCGTTTCTCCCGTTGCTTTCAAGGAATTTGCCAATTCTCCTCCCGAAGAGAAGGAAGAGTCTGTGGAACTACGCACCACGGGTACGGCTCCATCGGCGCTGGTGCCGCGGAGTCGGGGTGCCAGCGACCTCTGGGCTTTGGGGTGGTGGATCTCAAAGCGTTATCTCGTCTACACTGACTCCTCTCTATTGGGAATAATTTAAATTCTTGTTTAGTGTTGGTTTTTCATTATGTTGCATTTCTTTGATTAATTAACTATTTTTTGGATTAAGAGAATCTATTCATTTGCTTTATACCAGTTAGTGAAAACTTTGTAAGCATTTTTAGAAATATATGTCTTAAAAAAGAAAGAAATATATCTCTTGGAAATTGGGCATGTGCCAAGTGTCTGAAATAGTGCCGGTTTACAGAAAATACCGACCTTTTGCGTAATGTAAACTCATTAGCTAACAATTAATGTGATTTTTTTTTTTAAGCTCAAGATTGTCACATTACATGAGAACCCCCTTATAATGTAGTTCATGACATAAAGTATTTCTTTATATAAGATTGATTTAAAAAAGGAATGGTTTATAAGTTCCATACTAATATTATTCTTTATTAACATTCTCAAAATGAGGGCATTCTGATGCCCTTTACCACACTGTCATCTGAATATTAATGAGTCACCTTGTTGTGATGGGAAATCCTGGGTATTGCAAGATTGCAGCTACGCATTTCAGAAAAATATTTTTCCCACTTCCCCAGGCAAGCACAGCGAGAGCAACGCTGAGTTAGGCCAACTTGTCTGGCCTAGCACCTCAACCCTGACCACCCGTCTGCGCCGGCTCATCACTGCCTATCAGCGCAGCTATAAGAGGCAGCAGCTGCGGCAGGAGGCCCTGACGAAGACGGACCGGCGGAGGCGGCGGCCTCGGGAGGAAGTGAGAGCACTGGAAGCGGAAAGGGAAGCTATAATCTCTGAGAAACGGCAAAAGTGAGTTTTTTCCAGGGTTTTACTCTCAACTCCTGGCACATTCCTCTCTGCGCTGCTCTTTTAGGCCTGCAAGAGGCAGGAATCACATGGGAGACAATGACCGTCGAAGCAGTCTGCCTCCAACCCCCAAAATAAGTACCGTATGTTAAGGTTGGGGCAAAAGAGGGAAAGAGAGAATATGCTGTGGAAGCCTTTTCACTCAGTACAATGCAAGCCAATGTCTTCTTTTCTGACAGGTGGACGAGAAGAGAAGAGGCTGACTTTTACCGCGTGGTATCCACTTTTGGGGTTATTTTTGACCCCATGAAACAGCAGTTTGATTGGAACCAGTTTCGAGCCTTTGCCAGACTGGACAAAAAGTCTGATGAAAGCCTGGAGAAATACTTCAGTTGCTTTGTGGCCATGTGTAGGCGCGTGTGTCGAATGCCCACCAAGCCAGATGATGGTAGGTCCATTGATAACAAAAGTTCTATACTCCCAGGCCAATAAAGTGAAAGATAAGAGAGTGAACAATTGAAGGCCTGCTTCGGTTTTGTCCCAAGTAAATACGATTATTTTCATGTTTTCAGAACCTCCAGATCTCTCCATGATTGAGCCCATCACAGAAGAGCGTGCCTCTAGAACTCTCTACCGCATCGAACTGCTCCGGAAAATTCGTGAGCAGGTTCTCCATCACCCCCAACTGGGGGAGAGGCTGAAGCTCTGCCAGCCGAGCCTGGACCTGCCGGAGTGGTGGGAGTGCGGACGGCACGACCGAGACTTGCTGGTGGGCGCCGCTAAACATGGGGTCAGTCGGACAGACTATCACATCCTCAACGACCCCGAGCTGTCCTTCTTGGATGCGCACAAAAACTTTGCGCAGAACAGAGGGCCTGGCAATATTTCGGCCTTGAACCCACTGGCAGTGGGATTTGGCCAGACTCCAGCAGTCGTCTCGTCCGCTCATATTCAGGAGGAAAAGGGGACGGGACAGACAGAGGGCAAAGGGGAGGAGCCTGAACACGCGGCCACCCAAGAGAAACCCGCCACGAAAGCGGAGGAGGAGGAACCCGAGGCCGGGGATGAGGACCATAAGGAGGACTGTGCTGCCGAGGCCAGCTCTGTCAAACAGGAGCTGAAAGGCATGGAGGTCGGCGCAGATTCAGGGCCCAAGTCAATTTCCGAGAAAGGTTCGGAAGAGGACGAGGAAGAAAAGCTGGAGGATGATGACAAGTCGGAAGAATCTTCTCAGCCTGAAGGTAATGCCTGGCCCCCCGGCCCCTCCTTCCGCACCGCAGTGGCAGCATGCCGAGTTTTCATGCCACTGACAAAAGCTCTTTTTTGTTTCTTAAGTGCACATTTCTTCTGTGAAGGGATAATTTTAGGTTATGTTTACTTGTATGTTCTGCTCTAATAAGACACGGAAACATGATATTTCAAACAAGTTGAACTCTCAGGAGAGGTTTATGAATACATAATTTCTGGATTAAGGATAACGGTTAAATTTATAGTAGCGGTGTATTAAAAATCCCAAGTGATTTTATTTGTTTAATCCTCACCAGAGGACAGAGAGAGACAGACAGAGAGACAGAGGTAGAAATCAATATATGAGAGAAACATTGGTCAGTTGTCTTCCATACGTGCCCCGACAGGATTGAGCCCACAACCCAGGCCATGTGCCCTGACCAGAAATCAGACTGGCAGCCTTTCGGTGCATGGGGTGATGTTCCAGCCAGCTGACCACTCTGGCTGGGCCCAAGTGATGTTAATTTTGACAGTTAAATGTGTGGGAGAAGAATCCTTCGCTGACTAAATATTGAGTTATTTTAAAACAAATAATGCTTAATTGATACAGTTTTAATTCAGAAGTAACAGGTAGGAGTGGAATCTAAAAATAACCGGTTTCCTTTGTAAGTCACAAAGTCAGGCATGTTATACAGTTCTGCTGCAGCTGGAACTTAGAACTTAGCGGACAGGTTAGCCCCTTTTCCCGTGTGGGGGACATGGGTTCTTGAATCAGTCTTGCTTGTCCTTCAGCCTCCTCTGAGATGCACTTGCACAGCGTCAGGTGACTAGCGATGCGACCTCACTAAGCTACTCTGCTGCTTCGTCTGGAAGATGGGAATGGGCATGTCCATGCCAGGCCTGGTGCAGGCTTTACACAGAAAGATCTGTAAAACGCGCCAGACCCTCCTGGCCATAGTGTAGGACTCAGTAAAATGGAGCGGATCGGCATTCCATATTTTCCACTGTGTCCTTTCTAAACTTCTTTTTCTGTGATATTCTGGTTGTGAGTCATGCACATGCACTCATTTCTCAGCAGGAGCTGTCTCTAGGGGGAAGCATTTTGATGAAGAAAGCAATGCTTCTATGAGCACTGCCAGGGACGAGACCCGAGATGGGTTCTACATGGAGGACGGGGACCCATCGGTAGCTCAGCTCCTTCATGAAAGAACATTTGCCTTCTCATTTTGGCCTAAGGTTGGTGGGTTAATTTTTGTTTTGTTTTGTTTTGTTTTGTTGACCCAAAGAGTGGGTGGAAGAAATTGTTTGAGCTTGGTTTTTCAAATAATTTTAAGGTTTTTCAAATAATTTTAAGGTAAACGTTACACAATGTCTGAAGACTGTAGATGTTTCTCATGGTTTAAAGAATGATCTGAGAAAGCCCAAAGAAAAAGATCAGTAGAATACTTTTGTAATAGGATGGGAAGGTGACACGAAGGGAAGATAATAAGAAATAGAACCTTTTAAATGGACCTTTCGCTCCTTGAGGCTTTTAAGGTGGTAATCATGTACTATCTTGTATATGGATTATTGTTTCAACAGTCTAACCCTTTGGCAATATAAAATATATGGATTTTTCAAAATTTTTGTTATTTGGCTAAAAAAACGCATAACATGAAATTTATGACCTTAACCAATTTTAATTGTGTAGATCGGTAGTCTTCAGTCTATTTATATTGTTGTTAAGCGGCTCTCCAGAACATTTTTATCTTGCGTGACTGAGACTTTATACCCATTAAACATTTCCTTCCCATATCCCCTGGCAACCACAATTCTTCGGTTTGTTTTGGTGAATGTGACTACTTCGGTTGCCTCCTGTAGGTGCAGTCATATAATATTTGTTCTTTTATGATTGGTTTATTTCACTTAGCAGAATGTCCTCAGGGTTTATCCATATGACCGGGTTTCCTTCCTTTTTAGGGCTGAATAATATTCCATTGTAGATATACATTCTATTTTCTTTACCCAGCCGCCCGTCATTGGGACATGTGGGTTCCTTATGCCCCGTGGCTCATTGTAGTGCTCCTGTGAGCATGAGTGCATTAATATCTCTTTGAGATCTGCTTCCAGTTCTTCTGTTCTGGATATGCACTCAGAAGTGGGATTGCTGGTCACATGGTAGCTCTAGACTTGATTTTTTGAGGAACCTCTGTACTGTTTTCTATAGTGATCACACCGTTTACAGTCCCACCAACAATGCACAAAGGGAAATGTGTGGACTCTTAAAACTATGTTTCAAAGTTTTTCTTTTTCTTGTCTGAAATAGAACTTTCAGATTTGAGACAAGTTTCATATATTTGGAAAGCTGCTCTTCTTCACTCAGGAGAAGGTGGGCAGTTAACCCATTTGGTCCAGTATATGATGTGTTAATTCCAAATGTGGTTATCTAGAACCAAAAACAAAGTGGAAATTACTTTTTTTTTTTTTTTTTTTTGGCTGACTAGCATAATTTTATAATAAATCCCTATGTAATTTGGGCCTGTTTTTAAGGGTGGGGAAATAATTATCCTAATTACCATAACAGGGCTGTCTGGTTTAAAACAACACAAAAAACAGCTTCAGTCGACTCATCCCTAGGCTGGCCTTCATACTGTGAGTTGCGTAAGAAATGATGTGAAATTTTTAACTGAAAAGTGTCCTATCACAGACATCTTTTTCTCTCCATGCCCTCTCACTTCCCCCGCTGTGCTAGTCTCCCTTATCGGGTACGGAAGGGAGTTCCCCGGATCAGTCAGGTCTATGGTAGCAGGCAGGCACGTTTAATCTATGGAAACTGGGTCTAAGCTGTAATTAGAAATTTTTAATGTACACGCTTCAGTGAAATTTGAAGTAATAATAGGTGGGGGATGCAAATTGACATTCATTAGGTGTTCCTGGGCTGTGCCCATTTTGTAATGCTGAACTTTATTAATAGTGACACTAATGATGTCCCACCGCCCGGGACAGACTATGATCCTGCCTGGCCCTGAAGCTATGCGCAGGGTTCCGTTGTTACCTGCTGACATGCACCCACTATTCTTTAGCTTGAGTAAAAGTTACTTTTAAAATAGGGGGGCATTTCAGAGGTAGTGGCCATGCAGTGTTTGCCAATTTATGTGGTTCTGTGTTCATAATCCCAGAACATTAGGTTTTCTGTCCTGGAGCCACCTGAGTACCTTCCACCATGGCCAGGCATTCTGGGTGGAATTTGTTTATTTGCTTGCTTGTTTATCTTTTATTTTCTTTGACATTTTCCCCGCCAATTGACTTGTAAATCTTTCATACTCTTTAGCGTCTTGATAGAAATATTTACCTGGTAATTTTGACCAGGTCTTTCTTGCAATTTCATGCGACTTCTCCTTTCCCTCCAGGATCGAGTAATGATAAACCGATTAGACAATATCTGTGAAGCGGTGTTGAAAGGCAAATGGCCAGTAAATCGGCGCCAGATGTTTGATTTCCAGGGCCTCCTCCCCGGCTACACGCCGCCCACTGTGGACAGCCCCCTGCAGAAGCGGAGCTTTGCGGAGCTCTCCGCAGTCGGCCAGGCCAGCGTCAGTGGGAGCGAGGACCTCACCACTTCTCCCCAGTTGTCAAAGGTAGGTCAGCGCGATTTGTTTTTGCAGTTTCAAGTTCAGCTCTAAATCTCCTCTCAGTTTGGAAGCTTGTGTTTCACTGGTCCTACTTAGAAATATGGCTGCTGTTTCCTCAGCTTGTTGCACAGTCGGGAATGTTTAATTCCTTATGCTTCATACACACACACACACACACACACACACACACACACACCACACATTTTATTGATTTCAGAGAGGAAGGGAGAGGGAGAGAGAGATAGAAACATCAATGACGAGAGACAATCATTGACTGGCTGCCTCCTGCACGCCCCACACTGGGAATTGAGCTTGCACCTTGGGCGTGTGCTGACTGGAAATTGAACCCTGACCTGCAGGTTCATAGGTTAACGCTCAACCGGTGAGCCACACTGGCCAGGCCTTAAGCTTGCTGTTCTTCAGTTGTGAAAGCCAGCTCATGGAGCACAGACCGTTCGGGGTCATTGTTTCATTGGCATTTTTCAACAGGAAGATGCTCTCAATCTCGCTGTCCCTCGCCAGCGGAGGAGGAGGAGGAGGAAAATTGAAATCGAGGCCGAAAGAGCTGCCAAGCGGAGAAACCTCATGGAGATGGTGGCCCAGCTTCGGGAGTCTCAGGTGGTCTCAGAAAATGGACAAGAAAAAGTTGTAGATTTATCGAAGGCCTCCAGAGAGGCAACAAGCTCTACCTCAAATTTTTCATCTCTTACTTCAAAGTTTATCTTGCCTAACGTCTCAACGCCAGTGTCCGATGCCTTTAAGACTCAGATGGAGCTGCTGCAGGTGGGCCTGTCGCGCACGCCCACGAGGCACCTGCTCAACGGCTCCCTCGTGGACGGGGAGCCCCCCATGAAAAGGAGGCGGGGGAGGAGGAAAAACGTGGAGGGCCTCGATCTGCTTTTCATGAGCCACAAACGGACGTCACTGAGTGCAGTAAGTGCAGGGGCCCGCTCCGTTGTCTGTGCCCACGTGACAGCCAGGGCCCCCGCCCTGCCCATAGCGCTGGCCCGAATTCCTCTCCGAGATGCAGTGTCAAAGCTGGCTTCTTCCACCAGGGAGATAGAATTACAATGAGCAGAGCTGTGGTTCTGAGCGGGCATTGCGTTGAGCAGTGATGCAGGTCACCCAGCCTGAACCAGGTTTGGCTGGAAGGTTTATTCTTCCCAAGACTCTGCTATACTGGCTACTCTCAGGAGACCAGCCCAAACAGAAACATGGTCTTCGGAGCCTGATGTTGTCATCTCTGAATTCTTGAGGTGGAAAAGCTTTTGCTCTCAAAAATACTGATATTTTGGGGGCCTGGCACTTACTAGATTAGTATACATGTTTATTTTCTGACTCGAAGTTTGTATTCATATACAAAGTTAGGGATCGCAAGTCTCCTAAAATCTTAACTGCCTAATGATCTGTGCTTGTTTAGGTTCAAAGGAAATATATGTGATTTTTACTTTTTTTTTTTTTTTTCAATTCAAAGGAAACAAGGGCAGTGTAATCAAAATTCTCTTCCCTAATCTGTGTCACCCACGCCACCTAAAAATGTGCTGCCTGAAAATGACGAGGGTTTTAATTACCCCAGGTGCTTGATTCCATGCGGCTTCTTTTTAAATGCTGATTAGTACTAGGTATCTTCTGCCTGTTGATTTGAAACCTGGATCAAATAGTGGCGCTCCTTGTCTGTGCACGAGGGCCTGGGTGCCAGGGACCTGGGACCCTGGCCCCCGGGCAGTGGGATAGTTTGGGAAATACTGCAGTTTGAAAGTGAGGGAAGCAGTTGTTGATTTTCATGTTTTTTTCTCATACTATTCCATCCCTGTAATTGTTTGTCCATTTTCTATTTCTTCAACCTAGAGAAAGCTTAGTAACTTAGAAGGGTAGGAAAAGGCATAGTCGAATTAAAGTCTAGAAATTGCAAAATAGTTTTTACTGGAATTTACCCCCTGGTGAGGTCTGAGTAAAACAGAAACATCCAGGTGGTTAAAGTTAATTTTCAAAATTTATGATCAGGTGCCAGTTGCAATAATGGTCATTTTTGTTGAGCATATGGTTCTTTTAGAAGCTTGTGAAAATATATCTTGTAGTGGATCAGCGTGGCTGATGGTTCCGGAAGATGAAATGCCGTTTCTAGGTGTGTGCTCCCCAACGTTGTATCTCTAGTGATTGACCTTCCTGCTTAAAACCACCCTGTTAACTCTTTGACAGGTTGTGTTTACCGAAAATCCCTTCTTTGTCAACATCAGCAAATTGAGGGGTTTCTGCAGCTCACACTTCTTTTTATTTAGTCTTGTGTTTAATATTTAAATCATGGCACATTCAGGAATTAACAGTCATTGCAACTAGTGCTACTTCCCTATTGTAATTATATACCTATAAACTTAAGGGCTGATTTTATTTATTTCATATATCCTAAGTTGTACCTAAGAATTTATTGATATTTTTATTTTTCTAAAGTTAGATTTAGCTCAGAATTCCCAATAGATCTTAGAGAATATTCTGTAAAAAAAAAAAAAAAAAAAATTCTATTATTATTTTTTTTACTGTTGTTTTGGTGTTGTGGAGGGTTATGCATTGTGTCAGCACTCAAACCGGAGACCATGAAAAGTCAGGTGCAGCCACCATGCATTCAGCAACATTGTGGGAGCTGGCCCTGCCGCTGCCCACACACCGGGGTGCAAGAGTAAAGGCCTGACAGGAGCTTGCTTGCACTAGACAACTCAGTGTCTAGATAATAATGCATCATAGTTATGAGCTATGGTTGGAGTATTTCGTGAGCCCAAAGGAAGAATGGGAATGGAGGGAGGACGGTATTAGGAGAAACGGATGAGGAAGGATCCCTAAAGGTGGTCATGCTTTGGTTAAGTTTAGAAGATGGTGTAGACGTTGGTCATTTTAAAAGAGGGGTGCAGAGAGCATGTGCAAAGGGCCTGAGGTCAGAGAGAGAGCCTATCATGGTTGATGAGCTGAAAGCTGTGGGATGGGGAGGTTCAGCAGAGATGAGCTTGGAGATGATGTGGGGTGCACGTCATGGAGGCCTCGATTGCCATGTGAGAACCTAGGCTTTATACTGGAGGTGGTGGGGATTCAATGATCACAACAGGTTAAATAGGAGAGTGTGACAAGGTTTTGAACTACGAAGAATGCATTTTAGAAAACTGACTTCACTGTAGCAGTGTGGAGGTTGGATTAAAGAAGGGTGGGGCAGAACTAGATCAGGGAGCCCACTTAGGAATATTGCAGTAATATGCGTGGGAAGTCGGAGCAGTAGGAGTGGAGAAATGAGTTGACTTAAAAGATGTCGGGAGGTTGCAAAACCAGGTTGAGGACCAGTGGCTGCACAGTGGTAGAGCCTAGACTTGGGTTGAAGTTGATCTTTTCAGTGCTGTCACACAAGCCCAACACAGAATTTCATACCACCAGCGAAGTTGTACTGTTTTCAGTGCCAAAAAGCTATGTATAAACTGGCTTTGGGAACTTTTCTTCAATTAAAAATGTTTCAGTGGTGTTTATCTATGGGTTTTCGAGAGAGATTGAGAGGCTGCCTTCTGTGCAGAGGAGGCTCAGACTCCCCTGCCCACGTCGCATTCCTAGTGCTTAAGATCTCAAACATGGAGCCTGTGAATTTTCTGCCTAATTACTAATTCTACAGCGTGAAGCATGATGTTAAGGTTTCATCTTCTAATATGTTCCAAAACTGACATTGTTGCCAGTAACTTTTCCCCCTTTTTGAGCAAATATCCATGGTGCTAGGATAGCCTTTTCTTGGGATAGGACGTTGCCAGGATCTCTCTCTTCCTGTGAGAATTCAGACCACTGTCAACTTTTTGCAGGAGGATGCTGAGGTGACCAAAGCTTTCGAAGAAGATATAGAGACCCCACCAACACGAAACATTCCTTCTCCTGGACAGCTGGACCCCGACACACGGATCCCTGTTATAAATCTCGAAGATGGGACGAGGCTGGTGGGGGATGACGCTCCTAAAAATAAGGACTTGGTGGAATGGCTGAAGCTGCACCCTGCTTACACTGTTGATATGCCAAGTTACGTACCAGTAAGTGTTACGGAGCTTGGAGTGGGAGGGATCTCGCCAGCACGGTCCATTTTGTTCTCTTGTTCAACATAGACACCCCTGGTCCCTCTGCTTTTAGCTTGAATGTCTTCTCATCGTGATCTTTTCCCAGTTTTTGTCATTAAATGATTCTACGTTAGAGAAACTAGCTTTCAGGCCTATCCCATGGGAAGGGCAGCCTTGCAGTTATTTGAAGACACCTATTACGCGTTTTCTTTCTTTCACCGTCTCTCACCAACCAGGCATGAGTTCTCCAGTTATTCTCTGCCTGGCGTGGTTTCCAGGTGGTCTCGTTATTGGGCTAACACTCAGGAATGCACTTGCATTGGTCTCCAGCCCAGGTCTGATCCACTCAGAATGCTGTGAAGATACTACTTGCAGAGATGTGACCAGCTAATGCAGCCTACGACTTCATTAGCTTCTTTTTTAAGCAACTAGTAGTTATGTCTGAGATGAACTCAGACCTCATCATCTTCATCCTCTAATGCCAAAGATAGTGCTTATGTAGTGTTTACATCTTCAAACGTCCATGTAACAAGCTGATACCTGGCCGCTCCGCCTGTCGAAATGGTTGGGAAGGAAGATTTGTCACATAAACTGTTGACTAGCCAGTGGCGCAAATCTGTTACTTCCACGCTTATGTGATTGATTTTTAAACACTTCAGTGTAGGATTTTGCCGAATTCAGCATGACCTGAGTTCCTGCCACTCAGAACAGCGCTCCTGCAAGGTCCTTGTGTCCCTCGCTTGGTTCTCCTCATGTACAGTCCTGTCACAGATGTGATAGCACCTCTGCATCCATTCCCATCACTGCATAGGAATCAGAGAAAGTTTCCTTTAAAAATACCATGACTTAGTAAAACATTTGAAGAAGAGACACTACTAAAGCGGCATTATTGATAGATAAAAGGCAAAGCAGATTCTCAGCTTATGTGTTTGTTTAGTGCCTTAATATACAGAGTGGAAAATAGGAGGACTTTTTCCTTTCAAAGAAAAGTATGGTTTCTAGTAATTCAAATAATTCTTGAAGCTTCCATAATAATTGAAGATGACTTGATTGTTTGTTATGTATACAGGAAAAAAATAAGTATTAAATGCAATTTTACTAAAGACATTTGTTTTTTTGCAGAAGAATGCGGATGTGCTGTTTTCCTCATTTCAGAAACCGAAACAGAAACGACATAGATGTCGAAACCCTAACAAATTGGATATAAACACTTTGACAGGAGAGGAAAGGGTGCCCGTCGTCAATAAACGAAATGGAAAGAAGGTAAATGTGGGAAGGGGACGCTTTCTCTCTGTGATTGCTTATCCCAGAAAGAAATGTTTTAGCCTGAGATCTTTTTATTAAAAAAAAATCACATTTCTTTCAGAGTATATGTGTATGGTATGTGTGTGCATATGTGGAGAGAGAGACGGGAGGGGAGAGGGAAGGACTTACGTTTCCCATGCCTCTCCCCAGATGGGCGGGGCGATGGCACCTCCCATGAAGGATCTGCCCAGGTGGCTGGAAGAAAACCCTGAGTTTGCAGTTGCTCCCGACTGGACTGACATCGTTAAGCAGTCTGTGAGTACAAGCCCTGCGTGTCGGCACCGCGGCACAACCGCTTTCCTGAATTTTTCTTTATTTCCTGTTGGTCCTTGACAGAAAGACATAAAAGAATAGCTTAAAAGAATTGACGTAACACATCATTTTCACATCTCATAAACACATCGTGTCTTGTGTCTACATCATTAATCCGAAGTGTGTTAACTGAACAGCTCTGGTTTAAGTGGATTGTGTGGAAATGCACGTTCACAGTCTGGGAGGTGAGCTGCCTCTGGGAGGGATGCCCCAGGTAAACCCGGCAGCAGTCCACCTGTGGAGCGGAGTTCATGGTGGCTGAGTGGATGAAGATTAATTGTGATTTCTGATACTAAAATAAACAAGCGATTTTAAACCTTTTTCATCTCATGGCACACATAGAGTAGTAATTACTAAAATTCTGCAGCACACCAAAAAATACATTTTTTAGCAGATCTGACAAAAGAAATAGGTATAATTTTTATTTATTTACCAAAAATAGCAATTACCCATCTTGCTCCAAGGTAACTTTTTAAAAAAATCAGGTGCCTACACTTCTATGTCAGGATTTTTGGTACCAAGAATTAACCAATCACAGGCAACCTTACTATGCGACATGACCAATAAGATACAACTCTATATTATATGACTTATATATGTACTAGAGGCTGGATGCATGAAATTTGTGCAAGAGACTCGGCCCTCCCAGCCCTGACTTTGTCGTGGAAGGTCGTCCAGAAGGTCATCCAGAAAGTGATCCAGAAGATCGTCTGGTTGTCCGATCTAATTAGCATATTACACTTTTATTATAGATAGTTCAAGACAGGGCATTCACACCGGACTGCCATTGTTGTGTTGGCTCATGTCAGTTTTTATTTGACAGTCTATGGGAAAAATGGTCAGTGCCCTAAGTAGTCAGGTATTGCGTGTTTTAAAAATTCTTGGGGCACACTGTTGAAAATCCCTAAAATAAACAAATAAAAAATACAACAATTCTGAGTTTTCTTCACTATTAGTTTCTTTTTAAAATTAATGTGTTAATGGTGTCTTTATTCTTTTTTGTTTGTTTGTTTGTTTTGAAGTATACAGCAAAGCAGTGTATCTTTCTTTTGGTGTCTAGTAATATTAGTCCTAAACATGGATGGCCTGTGAACTGCCACCATAATCACAATGCAGACAGTTCCAGAATCCCTGGTGTTCCTCTCTCACACCTCTGGCCCCTGACAGCGGCTGATCTGTTCTCCATCCCCAGAGTTCTGTTTTTCTGAGGGTGTCATGAGCAGGAGCAGAAAGTGTGTAATCTTTTGTTTCACTTGCATTGAGATTCAGTCAGAAGTTTGTTCCTTCGCGTTTCTGAGCAGCCCTCCGTTCTGGGTGCGACAGGTTGCCATTACCTCACTCCAGAGTAGCCTTTGACAGTTTTTGTGCAGCTCAGCCCAATTCCGTGAGCCAATATGATGCTAAAATACAGAGATTTTGCTGTCCTAATTTTTACCATTTGAGCTTTGAGAGTGGAAATAATCGCTTGTGTATTTCCGTTCAGAACGTCAGGTTTCAGGTCATCAGAGCCCCATTGAAAGTAAGTGCTTCGGCAGCTTCTGCAGCCACTGTTTGCCTCTCCATTTCCTCCAGGGTTTTGTTCCCGAGTCGATGTTTGACCGTCTTCTCACTGGACCTGTGGTGAGGGGAGAGGGAGCGAGCCGACGAGGAAGAAGGCCCAAGAGCGAAATTGCCAGAGCGGCCGCCGCCGCCGCCGCCGTGGCCTCCACGTCGGGAATCAACCCTCTGCTGGTGAACAGCCTGTTTGCAGGGATGGACCTCACGAGCCTTCAGAACCTCCAGAGCCTCCAGTCTCTCCAGCTGGCGGGGCTCATGGGCTTCCCTCCCGGACTGGCCACAGCTGCCGCGGCCGGAGGCGACGCCAAGAACCCTGCGGCCGTGCTGCCCCTGATGCTGCCGGGCATGGCGGGCCTGCCCAACATGTTTGGCCTGGGCGGGCTGCTCAACAGCCCCCTGTCCACTGCTGCTGGGAACACCACTACTGCGTCCAGTCAGGGAGACCCGGACGATGGCACTTGCAAGGGGGAGGAGAAGGGCAATGAGAACGAGGAGGAGAGCAAAGACCCCGAGAAAAGCACAGACGCTGTTTCGGCTACTGACTCTGCGAATGGTCCCGTTGGTGCTGCTACTGCCTCGACCGGATTGCCCTCCAACCCGCTCGCCTTCAACCCTTTCCTCCTGTCCACCATGGCCCCAGGCCTCTTCTACCCTTCCATGTTTCTACCTCCGGGGCTGGGAGGATTGACGCTGCCCGGGTTCCCCGCGCTGGCAGGACTGCAGAACACCGTGGGCTCGGGCGCGGAGAAGGGCCCCGACAAGGCCGAGGGGGCGGCCTTTCAGGAAGAGGAGCACCTCGAGGCCAGCGACGCCGAGGAGAACCTGGACAAGACGGCGGAGTCCTCCGTCCTCGAAGACGAAATAGCACAGGGTGAAGAGCTGGACTCGCTGGATGGCGGGGAGGAACTAGAAAACAATGAGAATGACGAGTAACCAGTCCCAGTTCCCGTTCAAGTGTTTAAAACTTTTGACAAGTGGTAGTCCTACTGTTTACACTCACAGTTAATGTTCATACCTAGTTTTATAAGCTGTTCTGTAACATAGTGTAGCAAAAAGAAAAAAAGAAGAAAAAAAAAGTCCAAGTCATGTTATACAGGTGTGTCAAAAGGTATCTTGGTCCTTAAGTATTGTGCAGTGCATTATTTATTACCCCTAGGAGAGATGAAATTTGAGAGGTGATCATGTCTTTTTAAGGAAAACTTACATAATGCTCTGCTTCGTTTCCTCTTCGTGTGGTACCATTGGTATTATAATAAAGAGCAATTTGTAACGGGGCGGCACTCACGGAAGGACGCGCCGCTCGAAGGAAGTATGAAGTTATATATTTAATTTTTTTAATTTTAATTTCGTTGCTGTGAAGGTCAGATGAAATTTACCGTACATATCATCCTTGCTCATTGGTTTCCCTTTCTGACTGTCTGGGGTGCCCACACTCGCGCATACACACACACACACACACACACACACACATCCGTACACTCTGACAATCTCCACGTTAGTGTGAACGTCTCCGTCCCGAGGCGCAGCAATAATAAGGCAGCTGTTGAATGTGAAGGGTCCCTTTGGAAATTAACCTACTGGGAGGGTTCTCGCCAGATAGAACTACAGTTCCATTGTCTCGTGGTCTTGTAATGCACTGGTATAAACAAAATAAATAGATGAATAAATAAAAGAGTGAGAGACTAGAGAATCAGGTACCTTTTTTTTTTAAATTAAAGGACTTCGTTACTTTAGCCACAAAGCTAAAACAGCATTACCTCAGCTCTAAACTAGCCTTGAAGTTTACAGACATGACTTTGTAAATGTATTGTTTTTCTTTGTTGTGATGTCCTTTTATTTTTTTCCTTTGAAAACTGCTATCATGTAAGATAAACTGTAAATTGCTGCCAACTGTAGTAATGATGCTTTTAATAAAAGTGACCCATGATATGCAGAAATGTAATTATAGGATGTAGTGTGTAGGGGAACTGGTGTTGGCTCTATTTTTTGTCTTTGCAATAGATGCAAATACAGCATTCTGGCCTTTGTACAGTTTCTTGATATATCCTCTTCTGCTAGATCAGCTGTTAGTGAGGCGCTAACCCGGTTGTCTTCAGACTAGACAGGAAGGGAAGCCTTAAATTACCTGCACATAATTCCACTCCAGATATCTCCGCAGAACCACACACAAAACCCTCCTATTACTCCCTCCAAAGGGCATCCGCGACTGAGGATACTTAAAAATGTGTGCGGCGTCTGATAATGTGGTACACCGCCGAACAAAAGGGCACGAGAAAAATGAGGCTTTAATAGGCACAATATCTAGGTCATTTATCCTTGGTTAACGGGCAGAAAAACACAATGCCGGAGTGTCAGCAAGGGACACAAAGGCGCTGTGCTGCCCCGCGGACCAGTGCCGGCTGCCAGGAGCTGTGGAGAGCCCAGGCGGGGTGACAAGGGACCCACTTCAGCAAGCATGCCAAGTGCACACGCACGCAGACTCCAGAGCGGCGGATCCGTGCCCCCCTCCGTGACCTTTGATATTTGAGGTAAAGTCTAATTTGAGAGCTACTGTTTTTACCTTGTCATGTCACCCGACCAAACACAAAGCCCTATTTCCACGCAGTGAAAAGGGAGAAGAGCGGAGTCTGCAGTCCTGTGACTGTCGCCGCCTCCTCGCCTTCCCCCACCTGCAGGCCCCGTCCACAAGACAGACAGACCGTCTAAACCAGCGGTCGCCAAACTTTCGGACCTCACGGGTCACCAGTGGTCCGCGGACCACCGGTTGGCGACCGCTGGTCTAAATCCCCTTAGATCAGCAGTTCTCAACCTGTGGGTCGTGACCCCTTTGGGGGGTCGAACAACGCTTTCACAGGGGTCGCCTAAGACCATTGGAAAACACATACATAATTACATATTGTTTTTGTGATTAATCACTATGCTTTAATTATGTTCAATTTGTAACAATGAAATTGGGGGTCACCACAACATGAGGAACTGTATTAAAGGGTCTCGGCATTAGGAAGGTTGAGAACCACTGCTTTAGACAATGGGATTTGCTTAATTAAATCCCAAGATGAAACATACCCATTATGAGGTGGAGAAGGACCAACCGGAAACCTCCACCCAGAGGTCCTGGGCTTGCTTCTGCCCTCACTCCTGCTACTGCTGGAAAGTTAACAACTGGGTGGTATGCACTGGAGCCAAGTGCCTTGAAGAGAACACTCCGAAATGGGGTTCTTTGAACATGGAAAGTAAAGCTGGATCTGCATGGAGCACAGAGAATTTAAATGTTTAAATAACGGATATATTTTTTTAAGCCTTAAAATAAGACCTAGAGTGACTCTTGTTTAATGAAATGAATCATAAAAGGGTCTTTTTATACAGTTCTTTAGAGCCGAAAGTTTTCCTATGACCTTATGTAAGTAGAGCCTACAGTGATGGCGAACCTTTTGAGCTCGGCGTGTCAGCATTTTGAAAAACCCTAACTTAACTCTGGTGCCGTGTCACATAATAGAAATTTTTTGATATTTGCAACCATAGTAAAACAAAGACTTATATTTTTGATATTTATTTTATATATAGAAATGCCATTTAACAAAGAAAAAACCAAAAAAAATGAGTTCGCGTGTCATAGGTTCGCCATCACTGGCCTCGGATGTGACTGGTTAGGAGAACATGCTAAGAGCAATGATGGTCTTCAAAGCAAAGGCATCAGCATCTGTGGCCAGAGAAGCCCTGGGCAGGTAGCCAACCACTAGCTCTGGGTTTTCTGGAATTCACCTGTTGACACGCTCAGTTTTCGACGTTGGAAAATGCTTTTTTCTTTTTTCTTTTTTTTGATGGAATTTATTAATATTAGGTTTTGAGTTGACCTAAGTGAGAAATACTCTAAATGCCATCTGTTACCAAGAGGCGTTCGTGTGAACTGAGCACTGAGGTGCCGAGTGCGTTCCATGCACTTGTGCTTCATCGTCGTCTCTGTGAGGGAGATGCAGGTTTTCCAGAGGAGACGGCCCTGGGAGTTTAAGGAACTGGCCCCAGGAAATACAGCAGCTGCCTTTGGACCGGGCAGCCCTGCTTTAGAGCTTCTTTGCTCTCCCGCGTTGCTGCACTCTCAGGTCTCTGCAAGAAAATCATCATGATGATGAGCTAAAGTGTCTGGGGCTTCTGTATTTTTACGTTTTTCCCACAAACCCCTCTGTAAGGAACCTTAAGTTTGGGGTTGAGAATGAAGAGCAAGTCTACAGGAAGTAGAGCCTGGGATAGTGTGAGCGCTAAGGAAACTTGAGTCTCAGTTACTCATTTAAATCTGGATTCATCTTGCCCTGTGAGTTTTTCTATTTTTTATAAAGAAATCGTTTTTATGAAAGGTGAACATACTTCAGCTGTAGAGCTAGTAAATGGCAAACCTGATATTTGAACCCAGATTGATTCAACTTCAAAGCCCAGGCCCTTAGCCGGTGCACTAGTAGAATTAACATTCTTCACAACATTGGGTGTTAGATGCCGATTTAGCGGCAAGAACACAGCAATGAAAGCAAAGACAGACGAGTCCCCTGCTGTCATGGAGCTTACGTTGTAGGAAGAAGAGACATGATACCCATTACCAATAAAGTTTTTGTAGATCGAGGAACATATTAGATAGGGTGATCAGCTGGTCAGGGAGGAGCTCTTGAAAGAGTAGATGCTTTGCTTACGTGTGAGTGATGAGAAGCAGGCACCAACAAGAGCTGATTGGAGAATGTTCCAGGTAAAGGGAACAGCCAACGCCATGGTGATAGTGAATTGAGAGCGAGCTTGGAAGACAAGGGGGGACAGGGAACCTGTCTGCCTAGAAGAGGGAGGAGACAGGGACCAGGACGGCCGTGGTGGAGGGTTTGGTCTTTGGAAGGATTAATGCAGGAAAGTGACCTAATCCTATTCAGCGGTTCTCAACCTGTGGGTCGCGACCCCTGAAAATACATCTTGCATATCAGATATTTACATTACGATTCATAACAGTAGCAAAATTACAATTATGAAGTAGCAACGAAAAAGATTTTATGGTTGGGGGTCACCACAACATGAACTGTATTAAAGGGTCGCAGCATTAGGAAGGTTGAGAACCACTGCTAGATGTTAAAGAGAAAGAGCCTCCCGTTTAAATTACCTGAATAATTTGTATTAACTCCTCAGGATTACTCCTACTGAAATGCACCTAGAGTAAAACCAAGAGATGAAGAGTTTCACTATGCTTTAAAAAAAGAATAACCCCATGATTTGTGTTACAAGATACTGGGAAGAGAAAAATGTTCCTTACATGCCCTGTTCCAAAATTATCTTTTCAGTTCAATGAAAATTACTTGCTAATTATGTTTGGGAAGTTTTAAGAAACTTATTTCTAACAGGCAGCGGAGGTAAGACTGTATATGTGCATTGCTGAAGTGATGTGTGTGTGAGCATCACCGTGTCTCCAGAGCCATCGATAAATTTAAATTAGGAAGCAAAACAATGCAAATGACCTCCACTAACAAGCACTTAAAAGTTAGAATATATCTAACTCGTTCGACTCGGCTCTCTAATGAGCAATTGTCTGTATTTTCTTAGCACGGATAAGATTTACCACAGTTTTGTAGACATTTTACAGTAAACTACATTTGGCAAAATAGATGAGTAAATTAACTTCTGGATTATTTAGTTGAATGTAAGACTCTGGTCACAAAGTATGTCATCACTGACTTCATTGGGAGAGTCACCCAATTTGGAGTTTTTCTGGTAGGAGTTAGGATGGTGATTTTCACAGTATTTTGAACTATTTTCACAATATTTTTGTGTAAGGTTTCTGCTCAACTTTCCTGTTGCTGCTCCCATTCTTAATGGAGTCTCTAAACCAGCCGTGGGCAAACTACGGCCCGCGGCCCGGATCCGGCCCGTTTGAAATGAATAAAACTAAAAAAAAAAAAATACCGTACCCGTTTATGTAATGATGTTTACTTTGAATTTATATTAGTTCACACAAACACTCCATCCATGCTTTTGTTCCGGCCCTCCGGTCCAGTTTAAGAACCCAATGTGGCCCTCGAGTCAGAAAGTTGGCCCACCCCTGATCAACACAAAAACCTCCTTGTGTGCCTGTGTGGCAGCGTGGCTCCGCCTCCTCGGGGGTCTGTTGGTCTGTGGACCTGATTTTGGATCTACTCACATAGAGTTGAATTTTAATTTGTGTCTCCTTAATCAATGAATGTTTACCATGTAATTTAAATAAATTGAACAGGGCAGCAACCATTAAAATTTCAAATATCCTTTCACCTGGCATCTTTATCTTCAGAACAATGTATTCTTATAATTTGTGTAGGTCCTAAACTGTGATGAAATTTTCATCATTGAACAGACAGAGATGGCAGACTTGGTCTCTAGATGCTTACAGACGTGATAGTGTAGTGGCGCCTCCCTCCCTCTGTAGGGTCCTTCCTGCGAACCTTTCTTACAAGGTCTTGACTGGACCCCGGGATAAATTTGTCCTGGTGAATTTTAAGCTCTGGCTAAAGGACAGCAGAATCAATTCCTACTGTATAATGAAGAGAAACAAACACTACGTCAAAATAATTGTTCAGGAATCACTGAAAACTTGAGGTGGCTTCCTCCATTGTCCCTTGCCCAACTCTGCAGTTTGATGTGAAAGCTCGATTACAAGGGAGAGAAACCCGGTTCTTTGGTGTGCCTGGGGCCAGGTAGCACAGTGGTTTCGTATCCTGTGCAACCCAAAACCATCTCCATTGCCGGTCGCAGCTCAAGAGACCGGGGACTTGGACGTAGGCGGGGTGACTGAAACCTAGGAGGCTGTGAATGTAGTGGTTTGGGGAGTGCACATCGCATTCAGGACGGAAGATCCTTCCTGCCCAGCATGTTTTGCCATGTTTCCTTAGGAGTCAGGAAGCTCTTCACATCTTAGAGGTCAGCACTCTTGTTTGTTAACAGGCACTGGGGAGTGAATCCACGCCACACCCCAGTGTTCTTGCCACCACCCCCCGGGGAGGCGGGGTCACTTGCCCAGGGCCCAGTGGTG